TGATTGGTTAACATTACTGCTGCTGAGTGCTGATTGGTTAACATTACTGCTACTGAGTGCTGATTGGTTAACATTACTTCTACTGAGTGCTGATTGGTTAACATTACTTCTACTGAGTGCTGATTGGTTAGCATCACTGCTACTGTGTGCTGGATTACTGCTGCTGAGTGCTGATTGGTTAACATTACTACTACTAAGTGCTGATTGGTTAGCATAACTGCTACTGAGTGCTGATTGGTTAGCATTACTGCTACTGAGTGCTGATTGGTTAACATTACTACTACTGAGTGCTGATTGGTTAGCATTACTACTACTACTGAGTGCTGATTGGTTAACATTACTGCTGCTGAGTGCTGATTGGTTAACATTACTACTACTGAGTGCTGATTGGTTAACATTACTACTACTGAGTGCTGATTGGGTAACATTACTGCTACTGAGCGCTGATTGGTTAACATTACTGCTACTGTGTGCTGATTGGTTAGCATTACTGCTACCGAGTGCTGATTGGTTAGCATTACTGCTACTGAGTGCTGACTGGTTGGCGAGCGGAGCAGCTCTTTGGCTGTTTGTGCTCACTGACTTCATAAATGTACATAAGGCTTCGTTTTACACTCACGGCTCTTTCAGTGTGATTTCGGAGATCATCCAGTGTTGTGGAACCAACGCCGAGCTAAATGAGGTTCTGATAGAGCATGTAGAGATTTAGCTGGAGGATTTTAAACTGGACGCACAGTTAGTATAACTGAAGTATAACTCAAACAGAACTGGGTGATTTGAGCTGATGTTGTCGAACAAGAGAGAGAAATCTGGCAGTGCTGTCCACTAGATGGAGCTAGAAGACCGTTAGTGTGAACAGCTGGTGAGCTCACTTTAACAGAACACATACTGGGGGTTTATTAAGGTCCTGTTCTTTATTCAGTAAAGCCTGAATTAGACACTTCTAAACTGTTTATTCATTACGTATAAAGCCTTATTCAGTATAATCTGTATTAAAACATAACTGGAGGACTGTTATGTGAAAATCACTTATAATTATGTCATTAGTTGTAATAATGTATGATATACAAATGATTGAGCATCATTTATCATCTAAATTCACATCTTATTACTGTAGAACTGGCAGCATATGATTCTTATATGTTCTATATAGTGTCAAGCTTATTGCTTTATGTCAGTTTATTACTTAAGAGCTAATAGTAGTTTAATAAGTCACCAATTCTACAAGATGTGTCCCATATTCTTACTCTTGTCTAACTCTTGTATGGAACACAACGCTGACACATTAGTGAAGTCCTCATTCTTTTTGCTAACCAGAAAGTCATGATTAGATGATTTGTGCTGCTAATTGACTTGTTTAGCACTTTTTGGCCTCATTCTCAATCATTTGAATAACAGCATCATAACAAAGTGTTTATAATACAACTATTTGTGATTTTCACACAAAAATGTATTATTACAGTTATGTATTATTACAGGTTATGATGAATAAAGCGTAGAGTACAGTGAATAAAGCATTTATAGAAGTATAATTTATTAACTACAGGGACTCCAATGCAAACTGGTGGAACTATTTTTAGATTACACAATTGTGTAATTAATCTTTGGGCCTGCCGGCAGCCCCATGGTCATGTAAGGGGTTAATAAATCCCCCTATATGTGTCCCTTAAAATAAAGCAATATCAAAAAACTGTAAATTAGAGTTATTTTAAATATGCATTTAAAGCTCTTACTGCTCTTGCTACATAATATTCCTGCAGTCTTCTGAAGTGTTTTAATCTATCTTAATTTACTATAATCTATCTGAACCTTCTATAAAATTATTGTATTGTAAAGATAGTAATGGTGGAATTACTATAGGTCTTTTTCATAAGGGAACAGCTTCAGGCGCCCTAATCAGTTCATGTTTCTCCATAGTAAACGTGACAGTTGAGCTGCTGAAACAAACAGCTTCCATATCTCAGACTGGCTGACCAGTTTGTTTTTCATGTGAGTTTGATGGTTTACCTGCTCTACCAGCATGACTACCTTTCCCAGGCTGGCCATTCAGCCTAGTGCAGCTGGATGTCCACTAGAGGGCAGTATCGATCTGTACTGAAAGGATGTCTGATGTCAAGCTTTTAGTTCAGGATATTAAGTGATGCTGTTCAGTAGGTTAACATTCACAGTGGTTTGAGAGGTTTGTTGAGGCCATATAAACTATACTGGAAATAAGACAAATACTACATTGGCAATACTACCTTACAGAGGAATTCCGCCAATTTTTCCACCAATTATTGGAGGAATTTCACCAATAATTCACTGGTTAAGATATAATCAGAGTCATTCAGAGTGATTTCATGTGAAATAACTCATTTGTAGAGAAATGTACCAACATTTTCTTTACAGGGATGGTGATAGGAACCAGAGGTCGCCATGGCTACAGTGTAAATATAGCCATTCTGAGCTTTTATATGGAATGTTGATGACTAGAGAGCTGGGACCAGAGGATTGGTCTCTCCACCGAATCCCTCTCTCTAAGGGCTCTTTTCACTTTCACTGGCCCTCTAATCTTTGACTAATTTCAGAAGGTCCTTCACCTTTTATCTTGACCAAACTGTTATTGTTTTAAACCAAGAGCTTCCTTGTTCTTCTTTGTACATGTGCAAGTCAACATTAATGAATGTTTTTATTTACAGCTAAACCAACATAAACCCTGTGTAAAACCGTATGGCTGTGTACTATAGCATGCTGGTCTGTGCTGTTCTTTTTAGCTAGCTAAGCTAAGCTAAGGCTAGAGTTGGCTAACTTAATGTAAATGTTTACCATCACACACTAAGTCTGGCTAATTAATTCAGTTCAGATGAACCTGAGTGATGTTGTTTTGTTGAGTTTTGTTTTAGTCTAGTTGTTCTCTTAAAGGCTCTCAATACCAATTTCCTTAGTAAGCTCAGTAAAGTTACTTTGGCCCAATCCCATTTCACCCCTCGCCCCTACTTCTCCCTTACTCCTCTGTTTTGCGTGTTTTCGTCTAGATGTAGGGTGTCCTGATTCTTGTTGAGATAGAGGGTTAGGGTGAAGTGTTAGAGCTACATGACCCTCCAAACTGAGGTTTTACATTCTGGCGCCTCAGGTTTCAGAACTGCTGCACCAGGGATCTGGTGAATATCTGACTTCAGCTTCATATCACTGAAGAATTAGGGGTGGGCGATAATAAATAATTGCCCCCCTCTTTCAAGGCACATGATGTCCTAAATGTAACTAAAGCCCAGCAGTGAGGAGCTGAACTTTACCCTCCTCTGCTGTCACTGCAGACTGGCAGGGCACAGAGCAGCGCTGGTAGCTGTTAATGAAGTGATGCTCTTTTTATTTGAGGGACCCATTTCAGAGGAACATTTCAACCACTAACCCATGTAACTCAGTTTCAAGGGGCAAGGAGACACTCGAAAACAAGGGGTAGGGGTAAAAATAAGAAATGGGACTGGGCCTTTTTGTCTAATAAGAACATCCCTCACCTCAACTCTCACTGGACGGGCCTGAAGATTGGCTTAAGCTACCTACCTAAACAAAAAATCCTTCTTTGTGAAGTTTTTGCTTCTTTGTAATAGCTTGTGCTAAATGACCAGGGCCTACCAACAGGCCCAAAGTTTTATTACAGACTTCTATAAACTAAAAATAGCTCAGCCAGTCTGCATAGAAGTCCCTGTAGTTACTGAATAATAAGGCTTAGTCTGTAATAAGCCTGAGATTTTTGGTGTAGAGTGTATTACTGACAGGTTGCTTGTTTCTCTTTCTGGGCTGAGTGTTATTGGTACTGATTAAATCAGTTCTAAAGTGTCATAGGAAACTGTGGCCGGCTTCATCACTCAGATGTTTTGACTGTTTTCTCCATTTTCATGCTTTTATTCCACTGTTTTTCTGCTTTCTTCTTGACTTGTTTTCTGATATAAGGTTTTGATGTAGTACACTCTTTAACAGGATGGTTCTCTTTAGTAAAGACAATAGAGAGACAATAGAACGGTTGGTGAATGAGGCCTGTTGTTTTCACAAAGATTCTGATGTTCACCCATGTTCTCTTATTTGGGGTTTGTTCTGAGGTAAGAACAGAATCTACACACACTAAAGAGCACAAAGGTGAGAACAGTTCTGCGCTTTAAGAACACAATATGAATCTGACACAGACTTTTTCTTAGGACCATTAACAAGAACACATTTAAGAACACACTTAGGAAGACATTGGTGAATGAGGCCCAATGGTTCTATATAGAACCATGAAAACTCAAAGAACCATTTGCAAGGAAGAGGTTTATTGCATAGTGTATGTAGCACCAAAAAGGGTTCTCCTATTGTTACAATGTCAAGCTTGCAACAATAGCAGAACCCTTTTTTGGTGCTGTACAGAACCATTTTCAAAAAGGTTCTATATAGAACCATATACAACACATTCTCCATCAGTCTGAAAAACGATTTCACCATGCAGAGAACAATTTAAGCATGCAAATGGTTCTTTAAGGAACCACTGTCTTTACTCAAGAACCCTTGAAGATGCATCTTTTTAAAGAGTGCATTGATAAACACTGTTACAGCAGTTTAGCTTCATGCATTCACACTGAAGTTATAAGGAGTGTTTCAGCCCTGACAGCTTTTTAATGAGGCATAATACAAGGCAGCCAAAGAGAACAGAGCTCATTTACATATATCAGTCTTAAAGGTACAGAAACAAAAACAGCCTGTTTGTTTGGAGGAATAAAGAGAGGATGGAAAAAGGTAATGTAAGAATGAATTTGAAGAAAATGGTAAGATTTGTTTTAAAAAATTATCCATTGCTGTTCAGAAACACCTGTTTACCAAACATGTATGGAGGTGCAAGTAATGATATTGAGCTGCATCAGCAGATCCTCTGTGGTTCTACATTACTTCATCACTGGTCTTCTGAGTTGAAGAACAGGATGTGGGGGGGTTTGAGGAAGTCTAAACCCACACCAGAGGTCTCAGCAGCGCAGTGACAGATACAGACAAGTCAGAGACAGACTCAGTGGAGGATCCTCTCTGTGACAGATGGCCAAGTTACAGTCTACGGTTGTTCTACAGCTTCTGTTTGGTGAGTTTACTTATATAAGCACTAATAATTAATGCTTGTCACTTGTGGGAATTGATTTAAAAAATGCTGGTTTAAAATCAATTCATTTTGGATCATATCTAAAACTTGCGCACTGTACAGTGCCCCAGTCACTGTATAATCACTGGATCACTATGCATTCCTGTGTGAAAGTTTGATCACCCTGGTCAAATGACATGTTTTTCTGATTTTCTAATTGAAAATAAACTAAAGCATCCTCTACATGGAACATAAAATATAAATTGGGCCATAACTTTTACACAGGTCACATTTTATGTTTTATTTTTTTTTCTCCAATGTGTTAAATTCAGTAAATAAACAGTAATTGTGTATTAAAGTGTGCAGAAGTGTGTCTCTGTAGAGGACGTGTTCACTTACTTTCACTTAGACAATCAACAACAACATGTAATTTGACCGGATGCCCAAATGTTTGCATGCAGGTCTATGTTACTTACTTTTTCATCGATGAAATCAATGTGAAATCATCAAAGAATTGCACAGTAATGACAAATTATTCAATTAAACCCTGTCGTTATCTAGGTTTAAACTTCTTCGCAGCTGGCCGCAGATATTCCAGCACGTTTGTACCGACCTGTGAAGAGAAGATAACAGAGACACACATTTTGCACTCAGAAACAACACCTTATCTACAAGAGAGATGAGTGCAGATATAAAGCCTAGTCAAACCAAGCTTGTCTAGTTAACTAACATTAGCTATATAACTTGGTAAGCTAATGTTAGCTAACTACAATAAAATGATTACACAGATAACATTAATGTTTACTTAAAAATGACCTAATTTTCAGCTATTAATGATAGATACTAATTATTAATCAACAAATGGCTTTAGCCACCAGTGACCCTTCAGTAAGACAGTGGAAACAAACATTATTATTACATGCTAACGCTCACATCACAACCAGTTTATAAAATAGTTTTGTCATTATCCCCTTAAGGCTTATCTTAGGCTTATTATTCAGTAACTACAGGGACTTCAGTGCAAACTGGCTGAGCTATTCTTAGGTTATAGAAGTGTGTAATAAAACTTTGGGCCTGCCGGTGGGCCCATGCCACTTAAGGAGTTAAATCAAAGACCTATTTTTACTGATTTCACTTAATAAAAAGTAGTAAAAGTGTATATTTTATGTAGCGAGTAGTGTTGATATTGTGACACAGTCACTAAGCCAGTAGACGGGATTCCCCCCCAAAAAAATACTTAAAACTGACCAACACCATGGAAAAAACGACATAATGACCCAACAGCCTCAAACAGCATTTGTACTTTAAAACAAAGAGGTTCTATATAAAGTATTATATGAGCGTAACTGAAATACTTTTCGATTTGCCACAGTGTGACAGTTTAAATCAGAACTATTGTAAGTCTACAGTTCCAGCAGAGGTACTTCCTTTATGTACGTTTTTGTTTTGTAGAAAAATAAATAATTCCCAGGTGGATCTGTAACTGCAGAGCTCACTTTTAAATGACTAACCAAACAACTGAAAAGACAGAACTTTGGACTGGAGACATTTAAAGACTGAGGCTTGGTCTTGACTAGTTCTTGTTCAGACTCATTCGGACTCAGTTTTGACCTGGTCTCTCTCCCACTCAGATTTAGTCTTGACCTGGTCTCTCTCCCACTCAGATTTAGTCTTGACCTGGTCTCACTCCCACTCAGATTTAGTCTTGACCTGGTCTCACTCACACTCAGATTTAGTCTTGACCTCGTCTCTCTCCCACTCAGATTTAGTCTTGACCTGGTCTCACTCCCACTCAGATTTAGTCTTGACCTGGTCTCACTCACACTCAGATTTAGTCTTGACCTCATCTCACTCCCACTCAGATTTAGTTGTGACCTGGTCTCACTCCCACTCAGATTTAGTTGTGACCTCGTCTCACTCCCACTCAGATTTAGTCTTGACCTGGTCTCACTCACACTCAGATTTAGTCTTGACCTCGTCTCACTCACACTCAGATTTAGTCTGGACCTGGTCTCACTCCCACTCAGATTTAGTATTGACTTGGTCTCACTCCCACTCAGATTTAGTCTTGACCTGGTGTCACTCCCACTCAGATTTAGTCTTGACCTGGTCTCACTCCCACTCAGATTTAATCATGACCTCATCTCACTCCCACTCAGATTTAGTTGTGACCTGGTCTCACTCCCACTCAGATTTAGTCTTGACTTGGTCTCACTCCCACTCAGATTTAGTCTTGACCTCGTCTCACTCCCACTCAGATTTAATCGTGACCTGGTCTCACTCCCACTCAGATTTAGTCTTGACCTGGTCTCACTCCCACTCAGATTTAGCCTGGACCTGGTCTCTTTCGGACTCTGCTGTGACCTGGTCTCACCCTCGTTCGGACTCAGTCTTGACCTGGTCTCACTCTTGGTCAGACATTCTGACTAGGTCTTGACCTGGTCTTGCTCTGGTTCAGACTCAGTCTTGACCTGGTCTTGCTCTCAATGGTATTTAGTCTTGATGTATGCTGGCTGATGGAGACTCATTAACCCTTTCTATTACTTTTTCAGGAACCTTTAGACTGTGTCTCCTTCACAGAGCTTCATCTGACCTCAGATCTGTCCATCCTGGAGAAAACATCACCCTGCACTGTGACATCACTGCAGATTATGAGATATCGTGGTATCACCAGAGCTCAGAGGAGATGAAGCTGCTGGTTTCTGCTGGAAAAGATAAACTGAATAAATCATTTTCCCTCAATCATAATGTGGATGAAGATCACTATGATGGAATAGAAAACTCAGGTTCAGTCAGTTTAGTGGTTATTGGTGTTAATGAGACTGATTTGGGTCTGTATTACTGTGGAGGACGAGGACAAAAGTCACTGCTGCAGTTTGGAAGAGCCATCAGACTGACCTTCGCAGGTTAGTGCTAATACGTTATTCAGTCTGCTTGCTTAGTCTTAATTTGTTGTTTGTTTGAATCAACCTATCAGTGAAAGAGCTGAATGAAGACTGCAGAAGTAGAAGGCAAGGCAGGTTTATTTGTCGAGCAACTTCTATACACTGAGGTCGTTCAGAGTGATTTTCAAATGAGAAAATACAAAGATAATTTAAATAAAAATGTAAAGTTATATAGGAGAATAAAATTAAAGACATGATTAAAACATGTTTAAAACAACAGATTTAAAAGTGAAGAAGTGTCGGGGCTCTTCTAATGACCTCAACTGGGTCCATTTAAGAGCAGCATAGTATCTAAACGCTGCTTCTTCACCTTCGGCAGGACTGACTGACTAGTTCCTAATGATCTGAGAGCTCTGCTTGGCTCATATCGCTGCAGCAGATCAGATAAATACGCTGCTTCTGCACCTTTAAGATGTTTATAGAGCAGTAACAGCTCCTATTCTAGGAACAGACTGGTAGCCAGTATAAGGATTTAAGAATGTGATGTGTTCCTTCGTTTACTCCTAGTGAGACTCTGGCAGCTGCATTCTGAACCAGCTGAAGCTGTTTGATTGTCTTTTTTGGGAGTCCAGTTAGGAGACCATTACAGTGATCAATCCTGCTGGAAATACAGGTGTGGATGAGTTTCTCCAGCTCTGCTTTAGTCTGAACATCTCTGATCCTGTTGATGTTTTTAAGGTGATAAAAGCTGATTTAGTAACTGCTTTGACACGACTACTAAAACTGATATCCGAATCTATTAGTACACCTCGGTTACTTACTACTTCTTTAGATTTTAAGGCTCTTAAATCCAGATAGGCAGCTAGTCTGTGCTTTGCTGTTCCAGAATAAAATAATCTCTGTTTTATCTTTATTCAACTGCAGAGAGTTTTGTCTCATCCAGTTAGTGATGTTCTCAAGGCACTTACAGTGTGAGGCAAGGGTACTGTAATTGTTTAGGGAGAGGGCCAAGTAGATCTGAGTATCATCTGCACAGCTGTGGTAAGATCTCCCATAGTCTTGTAGTATTTGGTCACGAGGCAGCATGTATAAATTAAATAAGAGTGGCCCAAGAATTGAACCCTGGGGGGACACCACAGGTCACTGGCACTCTCTCAGAAACATTATTTCTATTTTGACAAAGTAGTCCCTTCCTTGTACAAATGAACTAAACCAAGACCTGAGAGTCCTGAGAGTCCAACCCAGTTCTCAAGTCTATCTATGAGAATTTTATGGTAAATGGTATCAAAAACAGATGTTTTCCAGAGCCTGTATGTAAACAAATGTCATTAATGACTTTAATTAAAGCCATTTCAGTACTTTGATTAGGCCAAAATCCTTACTGAAATTTGTCCAGACAGCTGTTTATGGACAGAAAGCCAGCAACTTGCTTGAAGATGATTTTCTTAATGATTTTTCCAATATAAAGGAGATTTGGAATTGGTCTGTAATTACTTGAAAGTTGCTTCTAGATTTTTTAGTGAGATGTTTACTACCTGAAGTAAGTCAGCTGATATTGAGTGACACACTATAAAGACTTGATTGGTAATGTGTTAAGACTGCAAGTGTAAGATTTGAGATGACTCACTGTATCAATTAAAATTTCACTACTGATATCAGAAAACTGGGACATTTTACTCACAATATCTTCGTGTGGTGATGGATACGACATGGGCTCTTTGGTGGATATACATGTATTAATGGCTTGTCTGATATTAATGATTTTAGTATTAAAAACGTTTGCAAACTCATTACATTTCTCAGTTGATACTAAATCAGGGGCCATTTATGTAAGTGACATAGTTAGTTTGTCAACCCTGGCGAAGAGTATTTTGCTGTTAACATTATTGTTGATATTGCTAGAGAAAAAGGATCATCTGGCTTTGCACATTATTGTTTGCACTTTATTATTCATGTAGCCTATTTTTGAAGATTTCCTTGTGAATTTGAAGCTTGGTTTTACACCATCTGTGTTCAGCCTACATTCTCTCTTTTGGAGTTGAACTGCAGTAGCATTCCTCCAAGGTGCTTTCTGTTGACATGACATGATTTTAGCTTTAACTGGTGCTTCTCATTCATAACACTGGCAATTTCTGAGTTGAAGCTCTCCAGCAAAGCATCAACAGAGTCAGATGGTTTGCATGGTGCAGAGCAGATTTTGCTCATGAAAAGTCCTTCTAAACCTTTTCTTAAAGCAGATGTGTCCGGTCCTGATGTTTAGTGAGGTCCGCATTTCAAAGAAGACATAGTAATGATCTGACAAAGCTTTGAGACCACATCCAGAGTGTGGTCATGACACATGCTGAGAGAGTCCAATATAGCATAGAGGTCTTTGGCATAACTGTCTTTAGGATTGTCAATATGTATGTTAAAATCACCAGCAATAACAAAATGATTAAAATCAGTTGAAATAAATGCTAACATATCTGTAAATTCATCAATAAAATTAGCATTGTTTTTCAGAGGCCTATAGACAATTACTAGTAATATTCTTAGTTTCCCTTTCAGAACCACACAAAGACAATCAAAGGATGTGTAATCATCAAATGCAGCTACACCTCCGCTTTTTTGGCAGCACGTCAGACATTTATGAAGTTAAAGTTTGGTGGAGCCAAATCAATTAATATGGTTTCAGCATTACATTCGTTTAACCATGCTTCTGTTAAAAGCATGAAATTAAGCTTATGGGATGTAATAAAATCATTAATTAACTAAGATTGAAAATAAGATCTACTATTTAGAAGTGCTAACTTAGTATCGTGTGTGCTTTGCTCCAAAAGCTGTGACTCACATTTTACACACTGCAGATTGGATACATTCATATTATCTGACATGTACACCCTTTCTGGTAAGTTCTGGGAGAGATTACCGGCACACAGGGTCCGAGCTTGTTTGTACTGCTGAAATCATTACTGTAGCAGCACAGACTTGAAAAATACCAATTTACTGGATTACTTGAGAATGGGCTGACCACTTCCCTTTCTCTGAAAAAAGATAAACCACTATTGACTAATAAGTCACCTTCTTCTTTTTTTTGCTTATTCACATCAGTCTGAGGTCTGCTTGTGTCTGGATGGAGAATTAAAAGAAAAAGGCCACTCAAGACCATGCATTACAGTGGTTGGTGGTGAGCTGGTATACATGACCAAAAACAACCAAATCTTAATAAATAATTTAATTTGCTATTTCATTTTTATTTAATTATTATGCATTGTTTTGTTTAGGTTTATATATAGCAAGATGCACCAGGTAACGAATGATAAGCAACATGATTATTAATAACTTTATTAATACAGGGTTCAACTTGTGAGTGGTCATTTGTTTGTTGAGTATTTCATGATGTTTTTGAATTTGGCCCAGCCAATCAGATTCAAACATCTGGCAGACACTGGCAGTCAGCAGATCAGTAAACAGAACCAGTTCAGCGTCTTTGTGTCTTAATACCATGTTCCTGGGTGCTGATTAAATCTAGTCCTACATTCCTACTGAGTACTCTACAGCAAGGGCCTCCCACCCCCACAGAGTGTGGATTGGTTTCCAAATGAGTAACTTGTTCAAGTGTGAACCTGTGGTTGAGGAGGAGGGGGGGTTCCTCAAGGTGGCAATATGTTCCTACAGGTTTCATTCCCTCCTTAAATAGAGGCTCTTGGTTTGCACCTACAGTTCTAGAAAAACCTAAACTGACACAGAACCTTTAACTCTTGAAAAAGATTATTTAACTCATTTGCAGAAATGGATATCAAAAGTGTTTTGGGGAACCAAAAGTGGTTCATCCATGGCATTTTTTATATAAGGAAGCTTGAAAAAAAAAAAAAAACTTCTCTAATTAAAAATTATATTTCAAATTTTTTTTTAATGCAGTTTGGAACTAAAGCGTTCAGTTTTAAGGCTCCATGCCTCCTGATAATCTCAAGCTTTACTGATTAACTCATGCAAAAGTTTTGTTTTGTTGATGTTCTAAGTGAAAATAAGTTAATCTTCTACAGAGAAAACACATTTTTCGTGCACAATTACTGAATATTTACTGACTTCAACCTGTTGAAAATAAACCATGCAGGCTAAGCAGAAGTTAAAACACATTTCAGATTATGTGTTTCATAATATCGCAATTTGTTAAACTCAGCAATTAAACCGAAACTGTGAACTTAAATTTGCTCACTGTGGAGCATGGGCGTCAAACTCAACCACTAAAACGGCCACATTAAAAAATGTCGACAAAACCGTGGATCAGACAAGTACGTTTTTATTTGATTTTTAATTAATGTTAGACCAAACTGGCCATTCTTTATTCAAAGTACATAAAAAAACTTCAAGAGTGAAATACAGGCACTCGTAGTAGACCTTGAAATATTACCTGCATACTTAAATATTTAAAACCTAAATGTCCCCAGGAGCTGGGGCTAATATGAATAGAAGATTAAAATACTTTGTGGGCCAGATAGGATTGTGTCATGGGCCTGATTTGGCCTGTGGGCCTTGTGTTTGACACATGGGCTGCAGAGGAGGTGTTAACTTATTTTCACTCAAGAAATCAACAAAACATAATTTGAGCTGAGTGGATCAAAAGTTTGCTTACGAACGTACTGTATGTGTCTAGCTGATGCAAAAGTGTTTCAATAAAGAGACATAAGCAAATATCCCAGGGTTGTAAAACAAGCTTTTTTAGTCCATGTATTTTTAGGCTAAGCTATTGTTTATCATTTATTTACATCCGCGCATTTATTCACAATGCTGACTACAGTGGAAGAAACCATGAGTGATGATGACGAGGTGTTTATTCCACAGAAGCAGGCTGAGGTTCATGTGGTTACTGTAGGGCTTTGATGGAAGCGTCACGGAAATGAAAGTGCTTTAAACTGCTTTGTGTAGGTTGGTGTCCACCGTGTGTTTAGATAAAGCTGAAAATATCTTCCTAAATATTAACATCCATATCTGGGAAATAACTGTGTCCGAATGTCCTGATGTTTTGCTGTGGTTAATGGAAACTGGATGTTCAGACATCCAAAAAATTGTTCAGAACTCAGTATAGATGTGAGCAGCATTTTCACACTGAAGACATTTCTGAACATATTTATTGCAGTTAAATTTATTTAATGCAGTCAGGAAGATGGTTAAAAGTACCCCAGTAACAGTGGAGTCTATCAGCAGGGAGCATGGTGAGGATAAATACCTGTATGTGGAGATAAAGTATTCATATCTTCTTCTTGATAATGCAGTTTCCTTTAAAGGGTGGGAGTATTTTTGTCTTTCCTGTAAGACCACATTCTCTCATGTTCGGTAATCTTAGGTGGCCTGATTTAAGGGGGATGCAGGGGGACGCCTTCCCTCTGTTAAACAAGATTATTTCCATTTGTATTTTAAATTTAGACACGCAACTTACATAGAACTAGTGCAACCCAGTCCAGGGGAAAAATGTGTGCATTAAGGAGGCAATTGCATAAAAAAAAAGTACAGGTTTTCATTGATAAACAAAGTCCGTAACACTTTCTTTGATTCATACATAACACTGACACAGCTATGTCATGTTGCTGTCATGAGTTGTCATGGCAGATGTTTTTCAGTAATATAACAGAGTCATGTCGCCATTACCACTAACTGTAAAGAAATAAAGTAGTGTACAAACATTTCAGGCAAAGGTTTTACATTTAAAAACCCATTTATCTGGGCAGTGAGTGTTTATTTGCTCATAAAAACTAACATGCAAGTAGTGATTTTTTTGCATGTCAATGTGTTCATTCATTTCTGAATCTCTCCTTGAGGAAGACCAGTATTAGTTATAATCCAATACCCGCTTAATGATTTTTTATGTTGGTGGTGGATTTCAATAAATCCATGTGACGGCTTGGAGCACTGAGGAGAATCTGGAACCCAACTTTGCTCTTCAAACTAGCTGACAAGATATTAACTACTTTTTTAATAACAAGAAATTATTGTTACTTTTTACTTTTACGTATTTATGCTTATGATATATATTCTATCCATATTGGGTGATTTTACAAGAAAAGCACATTTATGGCCAAATGGCTTTAATAACGTGATTAGGTGTCTCGGACCTTTACACAGTGCTGTATGTCCTAATATTTGATGTCTTGACCAGTAATGGCATGGTGTTGCCAATCAAGAGGACAGTGCTCAAAGCTATTACAGTGGTCCAGTCTAAGACTGGACTCTGCTGCGTTGCCCTATTCAGTATGTCAATGATGCTAAACCCCCACTCTTCCACATCACCCCTAAACTTTTTTGCCTGTGCTCATCCACAACCTATCTAAGATGAATGTTCCTCATCATTTCCATAACTGTTAGTCATGCAATTTCCTCTGTTCTAATGATGCACACCAAACCTACATGAGGGCTAATAGTTAAGAGTACAATTGTAATATAATGCATATTAAGTTATAATAAAAATCTATTACATATATTTGGTGTTATTTGATTAAATGAATGATATATATATATATATATATATATATATATATATATATATATATATATATATATATATATATATATATATAACCTGACTTTTTTCCAAGTCATTTTACACAGACATACACAGTACACCCACATATACAGTCTTTTTCTGTTTAATCTATTGGCCAATATAGTGACAGCATATCATGAGAGACATCTGAAAAGACTTGACCACATAACTAGACCACATTTACACCCACCATCCCAACTGAAACTTTTTTTGTGATCAGCTTTTTAATTGGTATTTATGACAAGGGGAAAGGACGTGGGCGAGGCAGAGTGGCAACAAGTAATGTTGTGGTGACACACAGGTCAAAAGTATAGTGAACAAACAGCATCGGGGAAAAATGTTACAACATACAGGCAAAAACTACACTAAGTCCTTTACAATTTGTAAAACTATTGCAAAAGTCAATGGGCTTCATTGTCCAATGTCTTCTTAAGTCTGTTCTTAAGTGTGTTCTTGAGAAAGATCCTAAGAAAAAATCTCCGTCAGATTCATGTCGTGTTCTTAAATCACAGAACTGTTCTCACCTCTGTGCTCTTGAGTGTGTGTAGATTCTGTTCTTACCTAAGAACAAATCCCAAATAAGAAAACACTGTCAGAGTCAGAGTCTTCGTAAAAACTGCTTAAGTGGGTTTTAAGAAGAAATTCTTCTAAAGAACAGTTGAATGAGACCCAGTGTTCTCTTTAAATAATCTTGGACATACAGTTCTCAAATTGGAAGATATAAATTCCAAAAATAGTTCTGCTCCTGGCAAAAAACAAAAGGAGGAAACGTTTTCGTCTTTGTGTAGCACTGAGGAACGTCTGTTGACTGAAATGTTTGCTGTGCACTTTGTACACGAGCACCATACTTCAGCAGTGAAGAGTAACCTTTGATATTTCTAACTATGCAGCTTTTTTTGGCTCTTTCCTTTGGTCTGCAAGTCACTTTTGGTGACTTTCGTGATGACTAAATTCCCTCATTTTCCAGTAGTTAAGCCTGGCTGTGAGATATTCCATGCAAACTGTAGACATGAAGAACTTTGTCAGTGAAAGTTGTGAGGTGATCCAAAACCGGCCATTGGTGTCTTTCATTGAGTCAAAGATAAAAGAGAATCTGAATCAACAGACACAGACGTACAGGTGACAGTGGAATGTTAATATCAAGTCTACTGACCATTCTATACATCCATTCGTTTGTGCTTCTGTATTCCAGATGATGAAAATTATGAAGAAAAGACCGAAAATGCTGAATGTCCTCCAGATTCTCCAGATCCCAAGTCCTACCAGATTCTAATTGTAGTCCTGCTGTCTGTCTGTTTGGTCTCTGTCCTGATGAACATCATCTTCTTGTGGCTGTTCTGTTACAGGGTGCAAGGTGAGAACTTCCTGCTGAAGGACCTACATTCACCCAGTTTAGAATCCCTCTGTGCCCTTCCCCTTACTCAACATCCTTCCTGTGAACCCTTCACTCAGCTCTGCTGATCTACTGAAAAAAATCTAGCCTTTCAAAATGTTTTAACCTCAGAAATGCTGCCAGCAGGTCCAGGCTTATCACTCCAATAACTATACGAATAACTCAGTCTGCATCGTTTCTCATGTAGTTATTGAAAATTAGGATGGAATTAAGCCTGTGATATATATTCTAACCCAGGCTGATGTTCACTGACCACACCACCAGACCCTCCTTTGGGTACAAAAACTTTTTTCCCCTTTCTTCCTTCATTTTCTATTATAGTCACTCCATTACTGTGGAGTTCCTCCATAGTAGTGTGGATATAACTTGATATATTACAGGTAGTGGTGAAGCTGTGTATCCTCTGCAAGGTGCAGTGAAGCTTTGTGTGTTGGAGGAAGCTTGCGCTAGCCTTCACCCTCCCAGCATTGGTACTAGTGTGTAATACGGAGAGATGTAGCTAGTGGGTGGAAAAAAGTGGTTAGAACATTAGAAAATTGGGTAAAAGATAAACAAGAAACAAAGAGACAGTGGACAGACAGATATATATATATATATATATATATATATATATATATATATATACCATGAATCTATATAAAAAACTAGTTTTAGACCAAAATCTTCTCAAAACTATCATAAAACCAGTCAGTGAATTCATAACCATTTCATGTAGTAACTTTCTGTGAGGGAGCTTTTAGAGGTGGACGTCTGGTTCCTATCACCACTACTGTGAACAGTTCTGACTCTCCACGTTTCTCTAGAACAGAGTGTTTCAAACCAAAGTATGTGAAAATACATAGTTAAAAATGTTTTTCTAGATACAAACAAGTCAAGAACCAATTATGAGCTTTTACTGTTAAGAGCGTCAGTTTTGTTTTTTTTTTTTTCTAATGGAGTTTCTTATCTTTCAGGCAAGCCAAACATTTGCTGGCAAGACACCAACAGCACCCATTCACTTGAGAAGGTATCAGAAACACTCACATGAGCTAAAAAAGTTGTGCAAAGGTCAGAGACCACCCCTCATTTATTTCCAGTCAAAACAGTCAAGTTATTTCAGGTCAGGTCAGGTCAGGTGATGTTTCAGAGGAGATTAGATATAAAATAACCAAATTGATTATGAAAAAATAAAAAGTCAATGGAAAATAAGAGTGGACGCTGGAATAAAAGTAAAGAGCGACACATTAAAGTGAATAAATTGATGTTATATGTAGTATATTTTGAGGCTTCTGTGTAATTCTCTGTTAAATACGTGTTTTCTGCTTTTTTGTGATGCTAAAAAAGAAAAACTTGTACTTAATGACTGTTTTAACTGGACATGAAACAAACTAAGGCTGGCCTTTGACTATTTTACAGTACATTACATCATAAAGCAGTGCTAGCAAGGCAGTTAGCAAGTGTGTTGTTGCTTCATGTGCTTGTTAGGTGTCTCAGGAGTTGGAGATGCAGTACGCCAGTCCTGTCTACAACAGAGATCTCAGTCCTGTCTACAACAGAGAAGCCGCTGAAGAAAACACAGCGCCTGCTTCAGACAACGTGACCTATGCAAAAGTATCAAGGCCTGCACCACAAAGCGCCACAAACATCAGACACCTTCCGGCCTAGACCTTGTCTCACGTAGACTAGTGTAATCTGAGATGGCCTGAAGGCTAACAGATCAAGAAGTCACTGCTCTATGACCCTGATTCTCACAGGGGAACCCAGGTGATGCACATTTTTCCTACTAAGTGAGATTCATTAGCTGATTGGCTAATGAATGACTGTGATCTAAGCAAGGAGATTTAGACCGGTAACACCAACATGAACCACCCGCACTGAGACTAAAAACTGTGAAGCTACCACTAAAAACTGTAGTTGGAGTGGTTGGAAGAATGTTTTGCCATTGGGCTGGTGATGTTTTGGGTTGATTACTTTGGGCTGACACATAGCAACCCACACATATAAACACAGGAAAGCACAGACAAACTGTAAACGCTTCAACCAAGTCTGTATTTACAGTAATTTACAGGTTAAATCAGTGCTTAATCCAGCTTTTCCTGCTTTTAGATTGAGTAGGAATTATCCTGTTCATATTTGGTGTGACAGTATGAATCTGCCGCTGGGTGACAGACAGTGACCTACAGACCACATTACTTTTAGCATTGTTTACCAATGTAGCAGTTGCCATACATTGGTAAAGTCATATGCAAACCCAGATAGCAAGAGGATAGCTGACCACTCTTGGGCCACTGATGGCAAAGCTGGTGGCCCACTGGCTGTTTGCTCAGTGTTTTCCAGGCGTCCCTGGAAAGAGTATTAAACAAAACACCTTTTTTTATTTTCCACTCACAGTCCAATTTACTTATTTTTCCTTTATTTTTCATTAGCTTTTGCAAATTAGTTGAGTAAATAATTTAAATCTAGCAAGGTATCAGCAAAATTTTGAACAAAAGCATTTTATATTAAATCTAGTCATTCATTTTTCTCTATAATATTTCTATCGTCTTACAACCCCATTACCAAAAAAGTTGGGATGCTGTGCAAAATCTAAATAAAAACAAAATGCAATAATATCCAGATCATTTAAACCCTATATATAATTTTTTTTAAAGAATTCTCTGTTTTGAATTTAATGCCAACAACATGTTCCAAACAAAAGGCTGGCAAAGTTGTGTAATGCTTAAAAAACACCTGATAGGCAACACTGCATTAAAAACAGATATGATTCTGTAGCGGAAATCACTGCATGGGCTCAGAAACACTTCTGAAAATCACTGTCTGTGAAAACAGTTCATCACTGCATCCACAAAACTCTAAAATGCAAAGAGGAAATTGTACATAAACAGGATCCAGAAACGCTGCCACCTTCTCTGGGCCTGAGCTCATTTAAAATGGACTGAGGGGAAGTGGAAAAGTGTCCTGTGGTCTGACGAATCAACATTTGAAATTCTTTTTGGAAGTCATGGACACTGTGTCCTCCAGGCTAAAGACCACTCAGCTTGTTATCAGTGCACAGTTCAAAAGCCAGTATTCATGATGGTGTAGGGGGCATTAGTGCACATGGCATGGGTGACCTGCACATTTGTGAAGGCACCATTAATGCTGAATGATGTTCACATGTTTTGGCAACATATGCTGCCATCCAGATGACGTCTTTTTCAGGGAAGGACTTGATTATTTCAGCAAGACAATGTAAAACCACATTCTGCATGTATTACAACAGCATTGCTCTGTATTAAAAGAGTCCAGGTGCTAAACTGACCTGCCTGCAGTCCAGATCTGTCACCATTGAAAACATTTGTCACAGTATGAAATGAAAAAATGACAAAGGAGACCCTGAACTGTTGAGCAGCTGAAATCCTGTATCAAACCAGAACAGGAAAACATTTCACATCCTGAAATACAGCAGTGTCTCCTCAGTTCCCAAATAGAGTGTTGTTAAAAGAAGAGGTGATGAAACACAGTGGTAAACAGGCCCCTGTCCCAACTTTTTTGGAACGTGTTGTTGGCATCAAATTCAAAATGGGCAAATATTTTTCAAAAAACAATAAAATTCCTCAGTTTCAACATTTAATATGTTGTCTTTGTAGTATTTTCTTTTAAAAATATGGTTTACTTGATATCATGGCATTCTATAGATAACATTTCAAATCACAGGCAGTGTGTGTTTAAAATCTGTTTGAGATGTAAAATTAGTTAGATCTTGCATGCAGTAATCTGGGTGGTCTGAAGGTGGACCAGCAGTGGCAAACATTCAGCGTGGTGCCGACTTTATCAAGCCAGTGGGAATGGACAAGAGTCTGAAAAAAGCAGGGAAAAAAACATGCAACTATGGTGCTGAAAATTCAAAGAAGAAAGCACCTGAAGAGGAGGCAGTGAAATGCTCTAAAAATCATAAAACATCTTAAAATATTATATTACCAATGTAGCACTTTGCATACGTGAATCATATGAAGACCCAGATAGCAAGAGGATAGTGGACCACTTCAGTCCCACTGAAAGCAAAGCTGCCCCCACTGGCTGTTTGCTCAATGTTTTCCAGGCAGCCCACTGGTGGTTAAGCAGAGTATTAGACAAAGTGCCACTTTTCGTTTTCCACTCACAGTCCAAGCAGGTGGGCAGTGAGGATTGCTGATAGGAACTTAGCAAGCATTAGTTTATTACATATCAACTGTCTGATTACATGATTATGTCACATCTAGTTCTTATCGTCAGCTGGTCAGCCTGAGCATTTCACTGTAGCAAATAAATAAGAATCAGAAATTAAAAATTAAGGAGAAAAAATGCAGACTGTGGGAAAAGCCAACATAATCTGAATACAATGGTTAACTAGCCTTTCTCTCTTAGCTGTTTGCTAGTAAAAAGTTATTACCTAGTACCTAATAGCAGTTGTGGGAACTAAAATAAGTGATTGGGTCGCAGTTTTTTCCTCATTTTCTTTTCTCTGCCAAGACTTTAGAACACAGTGTTTAACTCTGCTAAGTTAGCCAGTCAGCTAAGTAGCGCTTAGCTGGTAAAGCTTTTATTAACTGGAACCCCACTTAGAAAAATCTAAAGAGTCACCTTAACAACAAAGCATTAATCCTCTTCTACCTGACGCCGTGCAGTGTTTAAATCAGTTCTAATGATCTCAGTTTTGAGATCAATGGCTGTTTTGATGATCAATGGCTGTTAATCAATGATTTAATGACTGATGATCTCAGTTCTGAGAGTTTGCTGTTGAGACCACTGTGTTTACAACCATGAAGTAAAAAATTAGAATGATGTAAAATGTATAGTAATAAAAGTCTTTTGATTTGGGACTTTATACCAGTGGTTCACAGTTCCAGTTGTGAAGTCCCCTTTTGCACTGAGGTGTCAAACCACTCATGTTTTCAGAGGAACAGGGGAAGTCCAAGAATGAGACTTTACTAAAAACACATCTTCACTAAAAATGCACTGACTGTAAAGTGTCTTGACTTACCTTTTAAAACAACAAAGCTGTGAAAAGTGTTCTTTGGAGCGATTCCATAGAAGAATCCTTGATCTGTGGTTATACGATACAGAGACCACAGATTAGAAAAAAGCTGGATTAGTTCTTTAAGTAATCATCCATGAAAAGGTTCTTAAGGGAACTAAAGTTGGTTCTTCTATTGTAGTGGTCAGTAATGCTCCTCCTGGAGATCTACAGTGAAAAATGTGCTGAAATTAGTACTTGATTCAGAGATGTCCATCATTTCCTCTTAAGTACGTTATCTCACACTGACACAGTTGTTGCTATAAGTGGAAATGACTGAACACGAGGACTGAAGCCCAGACATTACGTATCTTAATGCATTCACCACTTTCAAACGTCTCTTCGAGGAAGTCCAGTATTTATAGGAGTTATTGCCCAGTACTTGGTTGATCTGATCAATAACTCCTTCCGTTAAATCAACTGTGCTGCTGATGGAAATCAACCTATCCATCCGGCATCAAAGAGACGTCTAAAACCAAACTTTGTTCTTCAAAGTGGCTCGCAAGTTTCACAAGAAACACACTGCCAATATTTTAATCAGTGTATATATTTTAATCAATGTATATCTTTATTTTGCTGTTGTCTGAACAAAACCTTGCATCTCCAAAATGGTAACTTTACAAGAGAAGGAAAAACCTACTTTACTTTTAATGTAAGTCAATGGAACTAGAATGTTTTCCAAGTCATTCTGGGTCGTTTCTTTTGGTCAATTCATCATGAGATTTACAGACAATGTAAAAGGTAACAGGTGTTTTCAAATTATGCCAAAAACTGAAAAATAGCAAAAATGGAGACACAAGGTTTTGTTCTGACAGCAGCGATATATGTATGTATATATATATATATATATATATATATATATATATATATATATATATATATTTTTTTTTTTACATTTTTGCTTAATTTAAAAACTCTAAACTCTTATTATTCTTTTATTTATCTTTTATAATAATACATTTTAAACACATGTTGTAAAAATAAATAAATAATTTTATTTATCTTTTGACTCTTGTTTTTATTCTGTGTTTATGCATTTTTTGCACAGTAATTCCCTATTTTACTTTCAGTTTCACTTTGTGTATAAGAGATGTGCAGTCAGACAAATCAGTTACTCCTAAAGTCATGTGCTTATTAATGCTATTCATCTGTTCTGCAGAGTGGAACATGTGAAATTAGGTTAATTAGGCTATTCAAGGACTTCTGACAGTGGTAATCAGTTGGATCAGATCTCCAGAAGCAGAAGCCTGGCTGGTGAGCACGGCTCTACAGCACCACTCGAAAAAACTGTTTAGCTCTTCCATCTCATCGTGTAGTGTACTTTAGCTCATGGCGCCACCTGTGGGTGTGCAGGTGAAACTGATCTTCAGATTACAGATTCCTGTTTCTTCATCTTCTTCTTTTTTAATGGAGCCATGTATTGATTGATTGAAGACAAATACGTAATTGGACATTATTTATTAGCATATTTTTTAAATAATATAAAACACAAGGAAATCAATTAACATAACAATCTTATAATAATAATTAATAAGAGGACGTGAACAGAATTAAATAAACGCCATAAAGAATTTTCTTAAAATTTTTAATCAGAAATATCATAACTTCTAAAGAGATAACTGGATATAATTACATAATTGTGAATCTATATTGCACAAATTTCATAGCGAGGAACGCTGTTGACCTGGTTATGTTTGGGTGGTGGACCATTCTCAGCACTGCAGTGACCCTGATGTGGTAGATAGCCTGGTATCGTGTGAAAGTGTAACTATGATACGTTAGTAAGTTACACGTCCAATAAGATGGTATCAACTGAATATAGTTCCTCTTGTAACAAATATAATATTGTGGTTAAGTAATTTCTATGCTATTTCACTCTGAGTGCAGCATGTTGTCCACAGTTCTTCTCAAAGTTTTTATTAGACACTAAATACAGACTAAATACCTAAATACAGACTTAACTGAGTCCCTTTAACAGAGAATTGTAGTTTAATCTTGTTATCGGCTGCAGCCACCCCGGCTAGGAAAGCCAGCACAGATCAGGGTGGCTAGTCACCAGCAAAACCGCATGTGTTGTGTTTTGGATGTTGGTATGCTGGTCAACCACAGCAGGACCATACTGGTTAACCAGCTAAACCAGCAAACGACCAGCACAAGCCAACTTAGACTAGTATGAAATTCATGCTGGTCTGCGCTGTTTTTTTCAGCAGGGTTTTGCTTTGTACAACAGTAAACCTTTACTAAAACACCTGTCAGCTTCAAATAATGAGCTTTTCATTCCAGAAAAAGTCTGAAGGAGCAGAACTGAAGTGCTACATGCAGGAAATGCAGTGTGTAAAGGAAAACAACCTGAAACGGTTAGGCTGTAGTTTGTACAGCAAGTATGCTGGCTAGCTAGCACAGTAACGGATCAAGCTTCCAGACAGCGAGCATATATCGGTCCACTGGCTTGATAAAGTTGGCACCCCGATCTGGACTGCTGGTCCACCCTCGGACCACCCAGATTGCTGTCCTGCATACAAGCTCTAACTAGTTTTCATCTCCTCAAACAGATTTTAAATGCACAGAGACTTTTATTTTAGATAAAATACTACAAACAACTAAGAGAAAAAAGATAATGATTAGACATAATGTGAATGATTTTATAGAAAATGTTGTTGCTGACACTGTTAAAATTATTTTACTGATTAAAATGATTTACTAAACTAATTTACAATGTATAACTAAAGAAAGCTGGTAAAGTAAATTGGACTATGAGTAGAAAAGGAGCGATTATAAGTGGGATTTTGTCTATTACTCTGCTTAAACACCGGTGGGCTGCCCAGAAAACGCTGAGCAAAACGCAAGTGGACCACCAGCTTTGTCATCAGTGAGCCAACAGTGGTCCACTGTCCTCTTGCTATGAAGGCCGATGTTTAGTAAATTGAATATAAATTTTAAATGAATGTAAAACTGAATGTAAAATTTAGTAAATGAATGTGATCTGTCCCTTAATAAAACTTCATCTAGATTAGCTGACATCAGTTAAATAAGCTATTGTGCTAGCTGGCATACCAAACTAGCCAACAGGTTCAAGTTGTTTTGCCTCTTTGCTTAAAACACCACATTTCCTGCATGTAGCGCTTCATTCTGTCCATCAGACTGAAGGTTTTTCTGTCATAAAAGTCTCATTATTTGAAGTCGTGTCAAACTCATCACTGCAGACGGAGAAGAATAGTATTGCAGTAATGACTCTGCATGACTAGCAAAACCGAGAGTATAAGTTACACACGTAAAGTGGAAAATGAAAAGTTTTATTCAAGGCTTGGTTTTGTTTGTATATTTTCTCAGGCTTTAGTCGTAAGTCTGAGTCAAGCTGGGAGTCAATTTAGGGTAAATCTGAATCACACCACAGTCAAAACATGAAAGAGATTTGAGGGAAATCAGTAGGCTGTCATGCTGGATGAATAACAGAGGCTGCCTCTTCAGATGAGCTAATGCTAACAGTACAGCTAACCAGGACAACACTGGATGCTGATGAGGACTTGTTTTCTTATATACCAGGTCTTTTCTCCTCAGTGGACGATGTGTAAGCATGCCAGTTTGTCAGAGAAATGTGTTCATTGTTTCTGGACCGAGCTAACGTCAGCTAGTAGTTACAGCAGTTAGCAGCACAGCTGCGCTAGCTCTGCCTTCTCAGTCACATCTTTAACAAAGATTCCTAATGTTTTATAGCAGCCAAGTGTAGTATTTTATAAAATATGAGCACACTTTACAGTTTTGTTAAAACAAAAAATAGCATTTCTCTGAATTGTTAGCCTGTATATTTTCTCAGGTTTTTTCGAGATGCAGCCTGATGATTTCAGTATTGAAACAAGCCAGGCACCCCTGCACATCCCTAGTGCTGACTTCAACTTACTAAAATTACTTTATTGTTAAAGAATGCAAACGTTGAGATGGTGCTTGTGTGTATTAGGCACAGCGGTGTTGCTGGAGTTTTCAGTCATTATCATTGCTAGGTTGAGAGTCGTCCACCACCCAAACATCAGTAACTGACCATCTGTGCAGGTCTAGCAGGTATATTGTTAAATGAAATGCTATAATTAGAGCTTTTCACAAAATAAAACCCACAGAAACCAAACGAAAGCTAATATGCTAGTCAGCCACATGCTTAATTAGACGGGGTCCATATAGGGACCCCTGGAGCTAACAAGGGTTACGTGCTTTGCTCAAGAGCACAAAGGCAGTGGTCAGAGGAAGGTCAGGGACATTAGACTCGGCGAGTCTCTACTACTCAATGCCCCTAGTAGCTTGGTTGGTATTGGCACCACTAACCCTGAGGTTCAGGGCGTGGAGCCCCGTCCCACTGAGCCACTGCCTCACCCACTCGTTCTGATTTTCATCAGCAGTCGATCAGCACCACCCACCGTGACACGGCCAGGCAGAGCTGCGTTAGCAGTCAACTCAGACTGTAGCTCTGTCTCAGAGGAGATTCAGTATGAGAGCGGAGAGCAGCAGGACAGCAGAGACACAGAGAGATGGACTGTTCACCCTGACACTGCCTACAGAGAGAGAGAGAGAGAGAGAGTGGGAGAGAGAGAGAACAGAGAGAGAGAGTGGGAGAGAGAGAGAGAGAGAGAGAGAGAGAGAGAGAGAGTGGGAGAGAGAGAGAGAGAGAGAGGGAGAGAGAACAGAGAGAGAGAGTGGGAGAGAGAGAGAGAGAGTGGGAGAGAGAGAGAGAGAGAGAGAGATTATAAGGTTTATAACACATTCTGGTTAAATGCTTCCCACAATGATCGTTTGTAAAATTCTGAGAGTCCTGCCTCCAGTGAGTGTGTTTACATGCACTCAGTAATCTGATCATAATCAGATTCCTGCAGTTATCAGATTATTCAAATGGCCATGTAAACACCATATTCCGATCTAGAAATCTGATTAAGAAATCTGATAAAGAGGCTGTATTTTAGCTCAGTAATCAGATTTCTTAGTGCTGTAAACTCTTACTCTGATTTCTTTCAGATTTCTCAGTCTGAGCATGTGCAAAAACAGATGGCGGTACCGGAAATAAGCCAGCAGCAACGGCAGAAAACACTTTTGGAGCGACACTGAAATCAAATACATGCTTGACAAAATGAAGGATTTAATGTTTTTTCATCTTCTAGATGATGTATGCTCATATTTTCAGGTAAAGCGATGCGATGTTTAGAAAAAAAAGCCACGGCATGAAGTTTGATGTTGGAGTTTATTGGCTGATTGTAAAGCAGAAATCTGATTACTGTCTGACTTATGTAGACCTAGAGTTTCCTATTATCTGATTACTAAAGTGCATGTAAACACATTAATCTACATTAATCAAACCCAGAAAATCTTTTAGCAACTGGATGTCAACACAGCAGGTTTTCATGTCTAATAATGAGGCGGTTTTAGTGATGGATGCTGCACCTTCAGATGAGCTAATGCTAAAGCTAACGCTGGAGCTAGCCAGAGCAACGTAAGATGAAATGACGTGCACAAAATGCATTAATATTTATCTTCACACAGAATTTTTTAATCACAAATGTGAGCGCTGCACAATCCTATTTAATCCGACTGATTTTACGAGCTGGCCATCAGCAGCTAAGTTAAGAAACACGGTAAGATAGCTTACAGATCTTAACATTTTCCTGCACTGATTAACAAGGAGCCTCATAAAGAGCCTCAGAACTGCGGAGTTCTCCAGCTCTAGATTTCATCATTCAGATCTTGAATTAAAGATCTTGATTTTAATCCAGTGGTAGATCTGTGAAATCACTAATCTGGGCTGTGGCTCTGTAAAGGAAAGTAACTACAGGCCTAGACAGATGTCCCTAAATGATGACCTTTTGTTGCCCTAAAGCCAGACAGTAAAAACTGCATACTCTCACACTCGGAACAAAACCTCAAATCTCCAAACTGGTAACTTCACAGCAGAAGAAAAAAAAAAACTTAACTTGTAATAGAGATAAATGTAGCAAGTTTTCTTTAGAAATCATTCTGGAACATGATAAATACAAGGAGATTGCGAGATTAAAGGCGATTGTGTGAGAGCGACAGTACGTTTTTGACCATATTTTGAAATGGTAAACAGCAACATTGTTTTTGTGTATGAATAATTATAGATAATATAACTTTGTGTACGAATAGTAGAAAAACTATTTTGAAGATGTTCTGTAGATTTTGTCCCATATCAATCATCTACTTTTAAACTATTACTTACTGAAAGCACTCTGCTTTTCAAACACAACTGTTGCTTTGGTCGGAGCAGGATCTATGAGGGAAATAAAGACAAAGAAACAGTTAAATTAAATTTTACAAAGTGTTTCAAAATCTTGATTAAATGTAGATCAGAAGTTCTTCTTTCTAACATACTAAAAAAAAATCTATTTTTTGGTTCAAATTGAAATCTACCACCTTCTGGTAATTCTTGCTGTAAAATATTCTTGACCTCTATGGCTTTACCTGTGACTGAGACCCTCACTGTGCTCAGTGCCAGCCCATCAGCGTCGAGCACCTTGTAGATCCCGCTGTCACTGGCCCTGACCCTCCTGACCACCAGCTTCCCCTCGACCTGCTCCACTCGGGATGTACCGTTCTTGTTTCTCTCTTTACTTCGCTGCCACAGCTCGATCCACCCAGGGCCCTCGCTGCTCTCGAACACCAGCGTCTCAGCATGGCTCGTGTACGTTTCCAAGAACAGGTCTTTTCCACTCTCCACTGAACACCTAAGCTTATGGTCTGTGCAGAGAGACAGAGAGGCAAAGCCAGATAAAATTACCTCAGCAGTTTACCTAGCAGTTTGAGTTCAAGGAGCTCTTAATCTTGATATTAATTGTCCCGTAACTGTTATGCAACTAATATGAAAGGTAGGGGTGGGAATCTCTAGGCACCTCACGATTCGATTCACTTACGATTCAGAGGGCTGCGATGCGATTATAAAACAATTATCGATGCATCTCGATGCACCTTTTTTTTCTATACAGCATTTCTATTTTCTCACTGAGTGAGGACTTGGTAATGTTAAAGCAAAGTATTTGTAATGATCTATAATGAATTTACTTCCAATATCTCTTATTAATAAATCAAATGGAAGTGAACTGGAAGGCTCTAATTCACTGCTCTTGTTTGGAGACGCTGCTGCCACTCATCTGCAATAAAATGCGCTGTTACGGAGAAATAAGATCTAGTGGTAATGGATGACCACGCAGCGTGTTACAGCCATCCTACCCGGTTTTAGTGACTTTATAACTTTGATTTTGGTCTCGTTGTAGAGAGTTGGGGAATCGCTGTGTCAGTAAAATATCTTCGAGACGGGGCGTGTGCAACATTGCGCGAAAGCCCTGTTTCTCGACCAAGCAACGATGCGTTATTCACATTTATAAGTAGCGCAGTCGGTTTCCTGGCAAGTTAAATCTGCAACGAGAGACTGTCAAACACTAAAAAGTCGCAAAGATGAAGTCGCTTCTCTTCCGAATTTTCTCGTTCCACCTTAAATGGTGCCGCATTTACATTTGAGAATGAGAAGCAACTTCAGCCTGGTAAGACAGTCGAATGTTGAGACATTGTACAAAAAACTGCTCTAGTTTTGAGGAAAAGTTTTCTGGTGGAGCTGCACTTACCCACTTCCAGTTCCGCCTTTTGCGTTCCGTCAACATTACGTTATAAATTAAATACTTAGAAAATCGATTTTTGACATTTATGAATCGATTCAGAATCGCCCACGTCCGCATCGCGATGCGTCTAAGAATCGATTTTTTTCCCGCACCCCTAATGAAAGGTATTTAGATATGAGTGAAGATGGAAAGTTTGGGCCCACCGAAGAGGTTTTAACATCCATTATATTACACTAGACATATAGTAAAAGAAAGGTCAGGTCAAGCCAACATACTTCAAATTCAACATAAAATTTTAGGTTGCCTTGAATTTTTAAGCTGACCCAACTTTTCTTAATTTAACAATACAAGTTGGGCCTGGTTGGGTCAGGTCTCAAATTTAGTAGTACCCGTCAAATTAATAAGTACCAGTCAGGCCAAGGGGGGTCACAATTTATGCTGATGTCCCCCTATAGATTATCTACAACTGCTCAGAATGATAACAAACTCAATTGATCAATAGCTTTACAGTTAGGTTTTAGGTCCAAGGCTAGGGTTAAGAACAAGATTAGATTTAGGGCTTCCACTGAAGTTAGGCGTGAGGGTGAAGTAAGTTTTTGGTTAAAAGTTAAGGAAAGATATGGAGAATGTCATAAATAATTAGGTGAATTTAAGCTAAAGGCATGGTGAGCATCTGCAAAGCATCAACAGCAGACCACCAAACGTTTGGGTGCCCTACACACTTAAAAAACCTGGTTCTTCAAGAGTTCTTTAGTAAAGACAATGGCTCTATATAGAACCATGAACATTCAAAGAACCCTTTGCATGCTTAAGTGGTTCTTTGCATGGTGAAATCATTCTTCAGATTGATGGAGAATGTACTGTATATGGTTCTATTTGGCATATTTTCTTGAAAAGTGTTCTCTGTAGCACCCGGAACGGTTCTTCTATTGTTACAAGCTTGACATCATAACAGTAGAAGAACCTTTTTGGTACTGTATTGAAACATCTACAGCACATTCCTCATCAATCTGAAGAATGATTTCACCATAAAAAGAGACATTTCATTATGCAAAGTGTTCTTTGAGTGTTCATGGTTCTATATAGAGCCATTTTTTTTTACTAAAGCACCCTTGAAGAACCAACTTTTTCTAAGCAAAAATAAGTTAACACATCCTCCACACAAAATTTGCATAAACGTGACATTTTTCTGCAAATTGTAGTGAACAGTTTCAGTTTACCTGCTGATGTTACTGTACTGGAAAAGCATAAAACAAACAGAAGCATGTTCTCTGCTCCTGGAGGTGTACCTTCCAGCAGACTGTAGCTCCAACCCCTATCAGCCCCACCTGAACCATCTAATTATTGGTTTCAGAGATCCTTAATTAGCTGGAGGAGGTGGTTCAGATGTGGGTTGGAGGTGAAAACTTTAGGAGGGTAGATCTTCAGGAAGAGGATTGGTGACCACTGCTGGGGGCCCAAACTTTTGTATATGATTGACATGCACCTAAAATAAGACACAACAAGTTCTCACCAAATACCAAAAGCTGGACGCTCTGGAGGAAAATCCTTTCCTTGATCTTTGACTGACCAACTACCAGATAGCTCTCGTAGATCCCTGCGTCACCGAACTGGACGTCTGTGAAAAACAGGGAGCAGTTTCCTTCTTCCAGCATCTCCTTAGGGACATCCACCCGATTCCTAAAGGCCTCTCCCTGAAAGCTCCGCTCTCCAATCCGTTCAAACACGGTGTCGGTCACGGTTTCCCACTGGATGTACGGTAACTGGGATGAAGCTTCCACATGTGACTTCCACGTACAGGGCAGGACAGCCTGGAGCCCAACTCCTGACCATGTGTGAACAACTGAGGAGAGTGGAGACGAGCCTGTAGGAGGAAGGAGAACAGTTAACAATCAACATCAGACATTTACATAGCAAGCTGTGATTGACAGTAACTAGCTACATTTGCTCCATCCAGTTTACCTAACTGAAATTGTAAAAGATTTGAATTTGGGTTTAATTTCATTCTGTTGTGTTGGTTCAGCTCCTGGACTGCTTTACTGCTGCTCCCTCCTCTTACTTTGGAGCTTTATTACCAAAAGGATCCAAAAAGGGAAGAATAGAGTCTAACAAACCTCAGTTCCTATGCTGAGCTGGGTGGACTAAGATGTTCTACAAGAGTTCCACAGAGCAGTGGTTCTCAAACTGGACCTCAAGGACTCCCAGGGTGTCTAGATTTCTGGATTGTTTGGGGTCCCTGAGAACTGGAATGAGAACCACTGCTAAAAGGAACTCAGTCTGTGGGCCTTATATTTACTACAAGCAAGTTAGGACAACTGTAAATGTACAGACTACATACAGAACAGGTTGACTCACCAACATAGGAGATAAGCCAAAGCCACATGATGGGGTACAGACACGTCCTGAGAAAGACCAAGATTACGTTAAGACTTCTGCACATAAAACACAACTTTTTCAGATGGCAAACATGCAACATTATATCATTCTGTTAGTTGACTGCAAACTTTTGCAAGCAACATAAATAGCAGGGGGGCGGGAAAAACTCGATTCTTAGGTGCATCGCGATGCGGACGTGAACGATTCTGAATCGATTCATAAATGTCAAAAATCGATTTTCTAAATATTTAATTTCTAACGTAATGCTGACGGAACGCAAAAGGCTGAACTTGGAAGTGGGTAAGTGCAGCGCCCGGACAGTCTGTGGGGCACATAACAAAAACACAGCTGGATGAGAGAGAAATCCGACCGGCTCCCTCTGCATTAAAGCCAGGTTAGATCAGAAGTCACAACACAAATGATAAGAAGAGCCATTTTGTCCTTTAACATGAATCAAACCAGCTTGGGAGCCACAACATTTGATGTCCAGTATGTGTCAGTGTGTGATGATGTCTATCAAAAAATATAAACGAAAACGCCGATTTACTTCGCTCTGCTTTAAGCTTTAGCTCAGTTATAGCCGCTTTCCTCCCATCTCCCAGGAAACTTTTCCGCAGCTTATTGTAAAATGTCTCTCAACGTTAAGCTGTTTTACGAGGCTGAAGTGGCTTCTTTTTCGCCAGCTTCTTGTTCTAATTTTCCTGTTCCACTTTAAATTCTGCCTGAGGCGCCAAATGTAAATGGGGCACGATTTAAGGTGGAACGTGAAAATTAAAAAGAGAAGCGAGTTCATCTTCACAACTTTTTAGTATTTGACTCTTGTTGCAGATTTAACATTTCAGGAATCTAACTGCGCTGCTTATAAATGCGAATAAGTCCATTCCTCTCCAAATGTTCGTTTTACTACAAATGCTACTAGCCAGGCGAGACTGCGTTGCTATGTGACCTGCAGTCTGCACGCCAGTGAAACGGCTTTCGCGCTATGCTGCACACGCCCCGTCTCAAAGATATTTTACTGACACAGCGATTGTCCTTTGCTTCATCACATGTGGTGCTGTTTTTTTTTTTCCAGAAACTGAGGTACGGAGATCCATGTGAAAGTACTTAAAGTTTCAGTCCCTGAATGAGATGAATGAGCGAAACCCTCCAAACTCCTTTCACCAATGAGGTGTGAGGTGCGAGGGATATCTTTGACATTTGAAGCCGTTCTGCTACTTGTTATGTTTTTATCACGCTCTAATGACATTACAAAACCCCCCCAAAAATAAGAGTCAGTGTCAGGTGTGCACAGTTTCTGCAGACAATTACAGGCCACCCACAAGATTTTGTTTCATAAAAGAGTGCAGGTTTCATCATCAGGTGTCATCAAGTCATCATGCTAAGAAATGTTTTTAATCCATCTTTATTAAATTATAAATTAATAATTAAAATGACATGTAAATGACATGTAAAAAATAACAGTAGGTAATCAGATTGCATTACTTTAATACAGTAATCATGTGGATTAGGTTTACAGAGTCCATATTAATCAGGTAGTCAGTAATCTGTACCAGGTATGTTGCACTCTCTTCTTGAGCTGCCACTCCTAGGTAAGATGTGTAATCCCGTGTAATCATGATTTGGACATTCTTTCACTGCATTAGTGATCTGCCCTAGTTATTAACTTAATTACGGTTTGATTTTCATGACGATCACAAACACAAAAAAGATGCAAAATTGTGGCGCTGACAAATATTTATAATGTTTTTGTGACAGGCAGCACAGGGCTAACCCAGCACAGATGAGGATGGGAAATGGCAAATATAGCACAATGAACAATTAATTGCTTAAACACAAACAGATAAATGAGTAAATAAATTAATTAGTTGATTAATCAATCAATGAATTAATATTGGTTTTAGGTTATACATAGCCATGTGATGGACTGGCAACCTGTCCAGGGTGTATCCTGCCTTTCGCCCAATGACTTCTGGGATAGGCTCCAGCTCCCCCAGCGACCCAGAAAGATAAGTGGCTTAAAAATGTGTGTGTGTGTAATTATATTATATTATATAATAATAATAATAATAATAACAGCTATTTTTTGGCCAACAAAATAGCAACTGGGGCCCAAATGGGGAAAAAATGTGCTTGCACCCAAATAAATTAGTATTATACTGCTAAACCATGCACGCACAAAATTAGGGCCCCTAATGTTGAATATGTTCAGATTTTATGTCTGTACTGCATGATTTACTCTCTTTATCTTTATCTTTACTTACTTTATTTCGGTCGGATGTTCCTACTGACCTACAGAATCCATAAACATGATTAGCCTATTGATCTGTTTATAAATCACTTTGTGCAAATCACAATAATCTACCTTCAGCTTTTCATTGTTTTATATCTTCATAATTTAAAATAAGATCAACAAAAGAGTTTATATAATGAGCTTTCATATCACATCTGTTCTCTTTTCTTAGTTCGTGTTCGTAAAGCACCTATTCACTCTGCACTTCATCTAACTGCTTGTTTCACATTCATTGACTTCCCAGTTCTACTACAGTGATCTCCACTACCTGATTTCAGTTTCTCTTCTGCTGTGGAAATTCTTCACATTTTATGGTCTCATGTTCTAATGAACAACGAATTTTAACCTTGTGACGTTTGAACGTTATGGATGTCTCCCAATTGACAGCATACTTGTTTATTAGCTGGGTCCACATTTGTGTCCCAACTCATACTGAAACTAATAAACGACATTTTAAACACAGGTAAAGTGTTCTTCACAACAGCCTATATGCATGTGATAAACCTTTCAAAACACATAAAACCAATCAGTACTTAGAAAATGTTATTTTTACCTGTTCCAGCTCACTATTACTACTCCTTACCTTGAAATATAACCATTAAATATTTCAAAAATCATATTATTCTTGCATTAATGTGTGAATCTATTTAACATCTCACACTTGAAACAGCCTGTTACATGAGTCGTCCATTACAGGTTATGAAAAATGTCCATTTAGTCCCTAAACATTCACTCAGTGCTGTTACCTGAACACATTCACAGCTATGAAATAGCTGGAAAATTCCACAAATCACATGTTCAACAGGAATTTACGTTATTTACATTTTCTGAAGATCAGGGGAAGAAAAGTTTTTTTTTTTTATTTTGGTCGTATTAGTCGACCCTTTTTACTTTTTATGTTCAACCCTTTTTTCTTAAGTTATAGATTGAAAGTAAACGATTCATTTAAGAATGTTTAATGTCCCCACCTCATTGGCACCTAGATACAGTAGCAAGAGGATAGGGGAACACGATCGCCCATTGACGGCAAAGCTGACGGCCCACCGGCTTTTCACTCAGCGTTTCCCCAAGCGGCCCACTGGTGGTTCAGCAGAGAGTCAGACAAATTGCAACTTTTCCTCACTCATTTTCACTCACAGTCCAGTTTACTTATTTTTTCTTCCTTTCTTTCGTTATACTTTGTAAATTAATGTAAAGTAAATCATTTTAATCCAGCACAGCATCAGCAACATTGTCAACATCATTTTATATCAGGCCTCGTCATTTTTTTTTCTCTGTTGTTTGTAATATTAATGTTATTTTCCAAAATAAAAGTCTGTGTGGATTGAAAATCTGTTTGAGGAGATTAAGAATTAGTTAGGGTTTGTATGCAGGACAGCAATCTGGGTGGTCCAAGGATGGACCAACAGTGGCACGCAGTCGGTGGAGTGCCGACTGTATCAAGCCAGCAAGCCGATATGCGCCCTCTATTTGGGGCATGGATGATAATCGACAACATTTCATAACATGTTCTCTCAGAAATAAAGGTCCTAAACTGTCACTGGGTCAGTCCCCCTCTTGTCACTGGGGTGGTACCTCAAGGCTCCATCTCAGTACCTTTAGTCAGGGAACATAACTGAACCATAATCCACTGAATGATATGTTCTAAGCTGTACTGACTCCACACACCCCGTCTCGTCTCCAGGCTTTTATTTTACTGTTCTGTTTAAAACATTCGGTTATGAAAAGGTACAAATACGAACTTTTCACCTGGAAAAACTTATTAAAGGTTCACAATCAGACCTTAAAACCACTGTTGGAGCTTTGAGGGAACATTTACACTGTTTGTACCTTGATGAACGAGAAATGTACCTGAACAGAACCTTTATTTCTGACAGTGTATTTGCTGAAATGTGGACCAAATTTAAGCCACTGTCAGCAATAAACCCTGTAAAAATGAGACTGTTCCTGAGATGGGTTAGCACATTACTGAGTGGTTTAATGCATGTGTTCCTAGATTTAATGGAAAAGGATTTATTATTCTCAGTGTGCTGCATGCTTTAGTGTTGTCTTGCTCTGTCACACCCACATTAAGCTGAGAGGTTAATCAGGAGGGAGTGCTAGAACAGAAGAAGCTCTGAAATGTTCAGGGCAGAAGGTACAGCAGGAGTGGAAACACTGAGAGAACTAAAACAGAGCTACTGGGAGAGATTCAGAGCCCCTTTAAAGCTGGCGAAGGCAGCTGTGCAGCTCAGGGGCTCTAACGATCTCTCACTGTGGAGCAGCCGCAGGGAGATTCAGCTGCACTGCTCAGTTTCAGGTTCCTGATAAACGCTTTGTTTCTCACCCGGTTTCATTTTCCACCCGTGTTCGAGGAAAAACCCGCCTTGTGTGCGGGGATTGGCCGCCAGAATCAAGCCCCGCCCCTTGTGCCAGCGTTGGTTGGTCGAATATGACCTATTAACCAATCCTAGCTCCGGAGGGGTTTCTCGGGAAAAAACAACCAAAACAATCGCTGCTCTGTTGCACCTTTGCAGAAACGAAACTTATAACGCTCCGCCTAGCGGCCGAAAGGTGTATTACTGGAACAGCTGCTTTACGTCAACTAACTGTCCGCTTATAATTGAAGCGCGCACAGAATGCAGTGTTTATGGGCGCAGATCTACCGCAAAGCAACTCAAGTTTAAGTAAAAATAATAAATAAATAAACGCTACAATCCAACAGGTGGATTTTAAAATGTAAATAGACTTATTTGCATGCATTTGAGCTGACATTGCTCATCTCTGTTCTAGATAAAATATTACGAGACATGTAAGTGTATATTAGCTCTGATATAGACTCATGCAAAACACACACACACACACACACACACACACACACACACACACAGACACACACACACACACATATATATATGTATGTATGTGTGTGTGTGTGTGTGTGTGTGTGTGTGTGTAAAGCTGGAACGTAGCTGTCCGTTTAATAAATGATTATCATATAAATGATTAATATCTTAATATCTCGTGTAAAGTCAGTTCTTACCAGCTGCTGGTGCTCCTGGTCTCCATGGTCAGTGGTCTGGGGGGGTTAGGGGAGAGCTGTGAGCGAGCTCGCGCTGTGAGCACTGAGGCGTGAGTGAAGGAGTCATGAGTGTCTGCATCTCTCTTATATACAGAGCGAGCTCGCGCGCGCACTCCTCTTTCCTCAAAAACGAAACGAAACTCAGAGCATCGCACTGAAGCTGCCTCTACGCAGTAATCAGAAACTCAGTCAGCGGTCAAACCACAGACAGACAGCCCTGACTACTCACAGAGGAGAGAGAGAGAGAGAGAGAGAGAGAGAGAGAGAGAGAGAGGGAGGGGAGAGAAAGAGAGAAAGATATATACAGAGAGAGAACAGAGAGGATCATTAAAACCTCCACTCACTCACAGACTGAACCCTCAGCCCAGAGAGAGAGAGAGAGAGAGACACAGAGAGAGAACAGAGAGAGAGAGATGAGCTGGTGTATTTGCCCTCTGCTGCTCTTACTCAGTGAGTATGATCATTGATTTCTGATTGACAGGTGGAGTCTGTGTAGAGGAGCACACACAGCTACTTAGATTTTCAAGCATTTTTTTTGCATATTTGATTGATGTAGTGAGACAACCCATTGATTGATGGGCTGACTGATCAATTGATTAATTGATCAAGCCGTTCAAGTGATTGCTCGTTTGCTTTGTTGATTGATTTACCCAGTTAATTTCCCTGATCCATAGTGCTAAAGGTGATTCAGTGTTTTACCTTAAGTCAGTTACCTGATTGCCTTAACGTTTGGAGCTCAAGCAGTAAGTTAGCACAGGATATTGTTCTGTTAACTGACTGCTGGAGGTTCAGGTTACTGACAGTTGAAACACTGAATCCTTTTAACAGGTGTGAGCTGCAGTCGACTCCTGCTAGATCTACAGGTATTCTTTCTCTGTGGGATAGACTTCTAATAGGCTTCCTTCACCTTACACACCTGGACAAGCAGTGGCTTGACTGCATTCCAGAAAAAAAACACAAACCCTCTTACTCCGCTCATCGTTTCATATTATTTATTATTATTTATCATGTGCTGATCCCAACTTTTAAATTTGCATTATTGATTAGCAAAAAAAATTAACCTTTTTTTTTACTAAAACATTCATTCAGTTATTTTTTGTCGATTTTTTTTTCTTTTAATCTTTTTTAAACATATCGGTGATTTATGGCTTATTGGCTTGCCCTCAGTTATTTAGTATTTCATTTTTTAAAATGTGCAGTTTCAAGTTCTAAATTATTGATTAGAACTGCTCAGGATGACTGCGCTGAGCAGAAATAGTCAAACTAGCTTTTTCTCTCTGTGCTAATAAATTCTGACAGTGGTTTATTTCCCATTTGGAATTTTTAAATTGTGGGCGAGTAAATTCTTTTCATCTTTGAAATCAAATCTTTCAGACAGTTTTTATTTTCAAAATTATTTCTGCAAAATGGCGGGAACACAGAATTCCTACAATACTTTCAAACCCATTTGAAGCTACACAATGAGTTCAAAAAGGCTTCAACTAAAAATCAATTTTATAAAATCAAACTCTATAAACCACTTTCTTTAAAGAGCCTTAGCCTATTTTCTTCTAGCTTTTTCCTGAATAAAGACAGTTCTGTTTCATTAACTTACACATTACGGAAAATTGCTGTGTCCTTCATGGTTTAATTGTTTCTTTTATTTATTTTCATTCATTTATTTAATAACTCAGATTCTAAATCATTCTATGACTATCCCGAGAGTCGTTATCATTCGAGAGATCATAGATTTTCTCTTTCTTATTGTTGAGGGATCTATTATATACAGAATCTCTTACAGAGGCAACCAATGGTCTCCCAGTCTTCTGGCCATCAAAATAAATTTTCCTGATAATGAAGTCATAAAAAATTACCAACACATCAATAATGTAGGCTTATGTTTGGAGAATGGATCATAGCCACGTTTCCTGCCATCTCAACAGACAGTGTGCTGGAAAAATGAGAAATACCAATTCAACCTAATTCCACCTAGACGCTCAGGTTCTGCTGCTGGACCAACAAGAAGAAATCCAAAAAATCAAAAATGAATACAGATTTTCTGGAGCTTTAAGATTCATTTGGGAATTCAGGGATTTCCAATAATAGTTTTACTGTTCGGTTTTATTGTTTCTTACTCAAACACATCATGTTTAAAGAAATATTAAAGCATGAAGGAGTCAGAGCACATGTGTATTTTATATGTTAATCAGATATAAATGTTTTTATTCAGAAAAAAATTTAGGAAATAGCATTACTCGCTTTTGAGAAAATATACAGTCAAAAAGGCCTAAAAAACAGATTTTTATTTGTGAAGCCGTTTTTGGTGTAGCTTCAAATGTTGCATTCAGAAATGAACAATTCATACATTTGATACAAATCATCTTTCAAAATTTTGCAGTCCTTTTGAAAACTAATATTTAAGATTTCAGCAGTGAAATATTTCATGTCCCACCTTAAAAAAGTACACCCTTAAATAAACGAACCTGCTGCGGGAATTTGTGAACAGGAAATCAGTTGATTTAAGCATTTTCAGTTATTCTGTAAAGAGTTAAATTCAATATTTAAAATGTAATTCAGAACCTAAAATTTGGCATTATGGCCCATATTAAATCAAGATTTTTTAAGAGGGAAGTCCATGATGTGACCAGACAGGCCACAGGTGAGATGTAAAATGAGCTTCCCACATTGCCACAAGATGGCTTATCCAGAAAATCAGGTCCAGTCTGCTGGCACAGACGCTGACAGAGTCTAGAAGTGACACAAGTGACACAAGGCCCAATCCTATCCGGCCTGCTAAAGTATGTTGATTTTCTATGCTCCAACTCTCCTACCCCGAGAACAATTCTACACAGTTCTACACAATTCTACCAACACCAGTTATATCACCAAACACACTAGTGGCTTATAAGCTGCAGTTCAGCCAGTATAAACACCAAACCTCAGCTCAGCAGCTCAGAGCCCAATGAAAGCTTAATGACCCTGCAGCAAAGAAAGGACGCCAGGTGTCTAGTTCGATCAGATAGGTAGGTGTAAAAGGCTGAGCTCCTGGGAACATTTACATTTTGAATATTTCAAATATTCATGTAATATTTCAAGCTCTACTACAAGTGCCAATAATTTACTGCTGACTTTTTTGCGTATTTTGAATAAAAAAGGGCCAGTTCAGGTTACAGCACAGCATTCATTAAAAACGGTCCACGGATTTGTTGAGAAGGCCCCTTTAGTGGTTGAGTCTGACACCCCTGATTTAAAGCATGAAAAGCAGCTAAACATCTAAAATGCAATCATCTGATGCTCTTGAACAGGCTTCTCCAAACCGTGCTGGGGCTCTTCATCTACCATTGATGTAACTGTTCGTCCAGGAGAAAACGTCACTCTGCCATGTAACGTGCCCTTCAGCACCGACATGGTCTGGTATCAGCAGAGCAACGATGAGCTGAAGCTGATCATCTCAGTGGTGAGAGGGAATCTTCAAAAAGATAGTGTTGTGAACTACAACGCAAATTCCAGCCACTTTCAGCTGTCTGCAGAGAGTGTAAACGACTCTTTGAACCTGGTCATTGTGGCTGTTGGAGAGTCAGACGCTGGGCTCTATTACTGTGGAGGACGACTCAGTAGGCAATACAGACACTTTGGGAAGGCCATCCGCTTGACTTTTCCAGGTAAGAAACTTCCAGTCATCTAGAGCTGAATCACATTTACAGTTTCTGCCTCAACAACTAGACTCAGCTCATGAAGGACTTAATAATGCCTCATGAACTCAGTCATGAATGTTAGAGCAGGAAAAATGTCATACAGAGTGAATTTGGAAGTACCTTTAGCGCTCAGCGCTCAGCACCTGTGTAAATGTCACCAATATAACACTATTACATCACCAATAAGCGCACCAGAATGTAAACTAAAATGGTATGTTGGTTTGTCGATTGCGATTGCTAGAATTATTACACTGCAAAAAGGTGAAATAAGCTAGATAGGAAGCTAACATCATTTTTGGGATGAGCAATTTGGTCATATTTTTACACTCGACAGAGAAAAATAGCTTTCTGCTCAAGACTCTGTCTAATTGTTGACTTTTTTGTGAGTATATGTCCACAGAACAGTGTAGTATATTGTTTCACATCAGCCAATAAACTAAGCTAACGAGCAAGCTAGGTGATTAGCCAAATTAGCTACTTAAAATGACCAAAAAGACAATGAAATGGTTAATCACAGCAACATAATGGTTCGTAGCAGCTGGAATATAAACTAGAACTAGAACAGCTCAACACGCGCTCCTTAGCTTGGTCTACTTTAGATTTTGATAGGCATGTTATTTGGGCATGTTTTTCATGTTTTGTTGTATTGTTATTGTCATATTTAATATTTCTATACCTTGGTTTTACTTGCATTTTTACTAATTTGTATGTCATTTTAGTCATTTTTCTTATCTTGATCTTTTTTTAATGTTTTCTTTTTTATCTCTATTTATATTTATTTTGCTCAATGATTTATCGTTGATTATGCTGTGTTGCTGTGACCGTGAAGGATAAGCAACATAGATTATTTAAAGCCACTGACTTAAACCTACTCTGATGGGTGTGATGCTGTTAGAGAACGGTTCTAGGATAGAGCATAGGAAAGATGTTTTCTTTTCTATGCTCCATTATAGTGCAAGGAAAATATGTTCACTTGGAAAATCAATAAAACATAGAATTTGAGCAGGGGTGCCCAAACTTTTGCGTACAACTGTATATCTGTAACGTGCAGTAGAGGCTATTGATGCTTTATGTTATTGGTAATGAGTGAAGGATTTTTCCTGTCAGGTGTTTGATAAGGAAGTGACTCAGTGATCCTGTGACGAGCGTATGTTCCATGCAGCTACAGCGGAATTACCCTTAAAACCCTTTACATCTTCGCATGGTGAAATGGTTCTTCAGATTGATGGAGAATATGCTGTATGGGGTTCTATATAACACTATACAGCACATTCTCCATCAATCTGAAGAGCCATTTCACCAGCAAAGAACACTTTAGTTGTGCAAAGTGTGTTCATGGTTCAATATATAGAACCATTTTCTTTACTAAAGAACCCTTGAAGAACCATCAAGTGAGGTAGTGTAGAAGGAAAAATGAGTTGTGCAAGAGGGAAGAACCTTTTTAAAGCTTAGAGAACCTGCATGTAATGTAGATTTTCACCTTTTTTGATGAAATTGCATAATTTAATGGTTAAGATGTAAACAGAGTCGTTCAGAGTGGTCTGGTGTTATATTCTCTGTTCTAGAGTCAGAACTGTTCACAGTGGTGGTGATAGGAACCAGACGTCCACCTCTAAAAGCTCCCTCACAGAAAGTTACTACATGAAATAGTTATGAATGCAATGCCTGATGACTGAGACATGATAGTTTTGAGAGGATTTTGGTCTAAAATGTATTTTTAAATCTGTTCATGGTGGAGGGATACACGCAGGGTGTTACAGGGACAAAGAAAAGAAAGTTTCTCTAGAATTAAGCGTTTCACACCAAACCACTCTGAATTGCATCTTAAACATTATTTTTAATGTTTACATCTTAAACATTATTAAATGTAGAAATTCCAGTGGAATCTGTGGAATTTATGAGATTACAACTTTTTAAATTATAACATTTATGAAAATCCCTCATGTAGTACTGTATGTAACTAAGGCTGTTAGTTATAAGAAGCTGTTAGAAAGCATCACGTTTAAAGACACAGCTTAGAAAAGAATATCTGTCACTCAAACAGGCAGACCCCGGTCTGAAGACCACCGGCAGTTTCTGTTTATTGGTAACTGTTGTGGTGGAACATGTCAGCACTCATAGCGAAAGTTGCTCGCCCTGCAGGACCCCAGTTTCCTTGTTAAACCCTGTGTTGTGCCTGTTTTACTGATTTCACTGAAAAGCTGTGGTTGTTAAACTCTTCAGCAGTTTCCAGCCACAGGATGCGCAGCACTCGAGTCTACAGCATGACTCCGGCCTGCCCTGTGGTCACTCCTCAGTGTGGTTTGTGTTTCAGGTGCAGAGAGAACCGAGAAAGGAACTGGACTCTGCTGGAAGCTGCTCATCACCTCTGCCTGCATCCTCGCTCTGGCGCTCCTGCTTTGCGTCAGCGGGCTTTTATACAGACTCGGTGAGGGTTCAGATGAATGAGGTCTTGGTGAGGGTTCAGAGAATGAGGTCAGAGGTTCAGCCGGACCGCTGAGAGTGGAAGCGTGTTGTTGATCTGCTGTGGCATGAAGCTTAAAGGGCAGCTTCTGCGTTTTATATTTTGTGTTTTATTTTTCCAATATGTTCTCAGCAAAAAAGTGAATAAATAGAAAACGGGACTAAAATCGAATTTAAAAGTCGAATTTAAGTGTGTTCTCTGTACAGGATGGGTTAACTTTTACAAAGCATGTAATCACAGTTGTGCTCAAACTTTTGGATATGACTGTAGCTGTCAAAACTCTAATTAAACCCAAAATAGATAAATAGATTTAGTTGTTTAATTCAGAAAAAAAGAGCTGTAGTGTGCACATAACTGTTTTTCATAGACTTTTTTTAATACAACATTTTGAAAAATTGCTGCCTCAGTTTTATGGCAGTGTTGTAAAATAAGCTTTTCTAATTTTTTGTAAAATAAGCTGCTTTGAGGTCAGCCCACCTGGTGCACACCGATAAAGAAATCTTGATGCCATCTCTGCCCACTGTGGTTTTCTTGGTTTGGTGCAGGAGCCTCAAAGCATTTACACTGAAGTTTCTAGCAGCATTTTAACTCCATCAAATATTTACATTTAATTTTAGCAGATACAGTACAGTTGTTGATACTTCTACAGTGGAAACGTTTTTGACAGTATAGTAATGCAGATATCTGTGAATGTAATGTACTGTGTGAGGATTTCAGGAGAAATGTGCCATGAATACTGACAAAGGAGACTCCTAAACCCTAATCTTTACCCTAATCCTAACCCCTGACCCTAATCCTAACCCTAATCTTAAAACTAACCAGACTGAAAAAGGGTGCCTTTTTTAATTACAACATTTAATTAAAATAAATACATAAAAAAAAAAAACATTAAGATATTATTAAATTAAATAAAATTAGGATGCACAAAAACATAATTTTGCATAAAATGTGATCCTGTCTCTTGGTGACTGGCTGACATGAATGATAAACTACAACCTTTTTTTCGAAAAAGTTGGGACGCTGTGCAAAATGTAAATAAAGCACTGTGATGTGCAAATTCTATATTGTACAAAAATACTACAAAGACAACATATCAAATGTTGAAACTGAGAAATTTTATTGTTTTTTGAAAAATATTTGCCCATTTTAAATTTGATGCCAACAATGCGTTCCAAAAAAGTTGGGACGGGGGCCTGTTTACCACTGTGTTTCATCACCTCTTCTTTATCAACACTCTGTAAGTGTTTGGGAACTGAGGAGACACTGCTGTAGTTTAGAAAGTGAAATATTTTCCTGTTCTTGTCAGTTCATCAGTTCAGGGTCTCCTTTGTCGTATTTTCATTTTATAATGCGCCAAATGTTATCAGTGGTGACAGGTCTGGACTGTAGGCAGTTCAGGACTCTTTTAATATGGTGCAATGCTGCTGTAATACATGCAGAATGTGGTTTTACATTGTCTTGCTGAAATAATGAAGACCTTCCCTGAAAAAGACGTCATCTGGATGGCAGCATATGTTGCTCCAAAACCTGTATATATCATTCAGTATTAATGATCCCTTCACAGATGTGCACTAATGTACCCCCACACTATCAAGGATGCTGGCTTTTCGTCCCTCTCCTCTTTAGCCTGGTGTCCATGATTCCCAAAAAGAATTTCAAATTTGAATTTATTGGACTACAGGACACTTTTCCACTTCAAATTGACTTTTTACTGTTTTAACACATGCTTTACCCATAAATGACTTGTTATAGTGTTCCATTATTTTTCTATGTCGTTACTGTCGGAACAAACCTGTCCAATAAAAGTATGACTCTTTAAACGAGAAGTAAAAAACATCCTTAACTTACAATGTAAATTAAAATGTAATAAGATTTTATTCTATATCATTTTTTCTTTTGCTCTGTCTGATTCAAAGTTTTCTTCCCAAAGTGGTGATATATTGACAGAAGTGCTGAACTGAATTGAACTTATTTGAAGTGAATTGAAGATAAAATGTAATTCCTCTTTCCTTTAGGTCGTCCATCATCGTTCTGTATGAACTGTGTGAAACAGAACTCCAACCTGAAGGTAGTGTGATGTCAGTACACTTACAGTATTATTTTAACCATGCAATGTCATTGTCTTAATGGGACAGTTTATAGAAATGGTGCTAATAATAACTGAAAGTTCTAACTGTTCTAACTGTTCATTAGCTAGTTCTGTCTCACTGGACCCTCAATAGATTATCTATACATTTTGAATTTATTAACAAACTGTTGAAAGTTGATTCTCAACAGTGTTTGGGTTAGGATTAGTACCAGGGTTAGGTTTAGGACCAGGCTGAAGGTTAGGCTTGGGACCAGGCTGAGGGTTAAGTTTAGCACCAGTTTGAGGGTAAAGTTTTCGGTTTAGGCTGAGGGCTAGGCTTAGGACCAGGGTTGGGCTCAGGATCATTCTAAAGGTTAGGTGTAGGACCAGGCTGAGGGTTAGGTTTAGGATTAGGTTAAGGGTTAGGCTTAGGACCGGGCGAAGGTTTAGGCTTAGGTTCAGGCTAAGGGTTGGGCTTAGGATCAGGCTGAGGGTTAGGCTTAGGTTTTGGGTGGAAGTCGATATTGGCGTTAGGTCACGGTTTCATTTTATGGAAAATGAAGGTTCATTTAGTAGATAGTTGGTAAAATGTAGGTTAAATCCAAGATAAGTATCTATGAAGCATTTACAGTGGGCTATCAAAATAGAGCATTACCACTAATACTAACCTGTGACCAACTACCATCAGTCCCATATTAACACAAGACACAAATTCAGGTCTTAAACTGCTTGAAAAGGAACTTACATGGAGTGTCAGTTTCAAATGAAAGCTCATTCAAGCTCAACTGAAGCTTTACCTTATTGATTTAATTAGCTTAATTTACATTGGTTGCTGCTTTTGTCTGAATTATGGAGCCCTGCTGGTGAAACAAGGCCCCAAGATCAAGATCATGCCTTATTAAGCTGAGGTCAAGACTTACTTATTTCTTTGCCGTGCCTTATTAAGTCATGGCCATGCATTAGAATTTGGTCCCCATGCCTTACCAAGTCATGGCTACAATTTAATTATCTCATTCCCACAGCTTAGTAAGTCATGGCCACGCATCATTTTAATATATACAGGATGTCACCAGCAGGGCTCTGTAGAAAGTAGTGTGATGACCTACTGTTGTCTTTACAAACTAAGGGTAATTGCCTCTAAATCAGGGGATCTCCAGTCCTGGAGGGCCGCATTCCTGCACAGTTTGGTGACTTTCCTGCTCAAGCACACCTGATTCAACTGATCAGCAACAGGTTTAGTTGGTGTTCTAGAGCAGGGAGATCACCAAACTGTGCTGGACTCCTGCCCTCAGCTCCCCACCCTGCTATAAAGCAACACGTGTTTCTATGGTGGAGTCTGACAGACTCTGTTTCCTGTCGTCTGATTCCTGCTGCCTGTTTCTGCTGTTGTAGGCGGCTGATCTGCAGTATGCTAGTCTCAGACACACCGCAAAGACCCAGGAGAGGCAGCCAGCACCTGCTGACCACAACGTGATCTACGACGTGGTTGCCAAAACGATCCCAACCAATCCTGGCGTTTAAACTAAACACCCGTCTGTCTGTTAGAGTACATCATCTCTGTCGGAGAAAAACTTTGTATCTCCATTTCTGCTTATTTTATTTTCTTGTAGAATCTGAAAATGCTTGCTGCCATTTATACTGTGCCAAAATTTCACAGTGAACAGACGAATAGATTTGAAATTTGTTAACATCAACTTACACTGAAAGTCAGAAATGTTTCTTCCTTCTCCTGTAAAGCTACTTTTTTGGACATACAAGGTTTTGTTCCCTGAGCAGTGATATGTCTTCATTAATCAGTATTATATAAGCTCATACAGAAGCTGGTTCTTCTTCAACAAGATTACAGAAACCTTTATTAGTATCAGATTGCAATTTATTACATTGTTTTTATTTCCAAATGTTACCTTATATTTCACAAAATGTCACAGTGATACTTTTTAAGCTTCTTTTTAGAGAGAACTATGTTTTCTATGCAAGCTGATCAAAATAAAATGGTTAAATATAAAGTCTAAAGGTCAGAAAAAACGTATTTTTGAGAGTAAAAAGAAAGTTTAGAAATGTGATCACCTGACTGCAAAGTGGCAGCAGAGCTGCTATAAAGCATAGCATCATTATGACTGTATTACCCTGGTGACATGTTAGTTTCGTGTCTGCTACAAGCTTCGACTGAATAAAGTGTGAAAGAAAATGACAGTGATTTCAGCTGTATTAATGCACGACTGTCTGCTATATAGGGGAGCTTGGGGCTGTGGTCACAGTGCTGTTATCTGGACTGTGGAAGGGAGAAATGTGTAGAGATATTGATGGTGAAATGTTATTTATTTAAATTTTCTGTTATTTCTTAAATGTCCTCTATTTTTTGACAAAAGAAACATGAATTAGATTAAAAGAGGTTTAGTAAGTTTAGTTAATTAATTCTCTCTGAGTAGTTGATGTTTTTGGTAGAGAGCTGGTTGGACCTAGAGACTCTGAGTAATTGATGTGTTTGATAGAGAGCTGGTTGGATCTAGAGACTCTGAGTAATTGATGTGTTTGATAGAGAGCTGGTTGGATCTAGAGTCTCTGAGTAATTGATGTGTTTGGTAGAGAGCTGGTTGGATCTAGAGTCTCTGAGTAATTGAAGTGCTTGGTAGAGAGTTGGTTGGTTCTAGAGTCTCTGAGTGATTGACAATTTTGGTAGAATGCTGGTTGTACCTAGAGTCTCTGAGTAATTGATGTGTTTGGAAGAGAGTTGGTTGGTTCTAGAGTCTCTGAGTAGTTGTTAGTTTTGGTAGAGAGCTGGTTTGATCTAGAGTCTGAGTAATTGATATGTTTGGTAGAGAGCTGGTTTGATCTAGAGTCTGAGTAATTGATATGTTTGGTAGAGAGCTGGTTGGATCTAGAGTCTGAGTAATTGATATGTTTGGTAGAGAGCTGGTTGGATCTAGAGTCTGAGTAATTGATGAGTTTGAGAGAGAGCTGGTTGGATCTAGAGTCTCTGAGTAATTGATCTGTTTGATAGAGAGCTGATTGGATCTGGAGTCTTTGAGTAATTGATGTGTTTGGTAGAGAGCTGGTTGAATCTAGAGTCTCTGAGTAATTGATGAGTTTGAGAAAGAGCTGGTTGGATCTAGAGTCTCTGAGTAATTGATGAGTTTGAGAAAGCTGGTTGGATCTAGAGTCTCTGAGTAATTGATGTGTTTGATAGAGAGCTGGTTGAATCTAGAGTCTCTGAGTAATTGATCTGTTTGATAGAGAGCTGGTTGAATCTAGAGTCTCTGAGTAATTGATGAGTTTGAGAGAGAGCTGGTTGGATCTAGAGTCTATGAGTAATTGATGAGTTTGAGAGAGAGCTGGTTGGATCTAGAGTCTCTGAGTAATTGATGAGTTTGAGAGAGAGCTGGTTGGATCTGGAGTCTCTGAGTAATTGATCTGTTTGATAGAGAGCTGGTTGGATCTGGAGTCTCTGAGTAATTGATCTGTTTGATAGAGAGCTGGTTGGATCTGGAGTCTCTGAGTAATTGATCTGTTTGATAGAGAGCTGGTTGGATCTGGAGTCTCTGAGTAATTGATCTGTTTGATAGAGAGCTGGTTGGATCTGGAGTCTCTGAGTAATTGATGTGTTTGGTAGAGAGCTGGTTGGATCTAGAGTCTATGAGTAATTGATGAGTTGGGTAGAGGGCTGGCTGGACCATGCAGCAGTGTGGAGTAGATGACCTGCTGCCCACTGTTCTGTGTCCATCCTCTGGCTCTCCAGTTCTGCCGTCCCAGTGACGCGTACTGGATCTCACAGTGGTTTGTCAGAGGCACAGACTGAAAGGAGAACAATGTACACACACATAAAAACACTCTGACTCACTGATCCCTCTAACTAAACAGTGTGATGCATTACAGGTTAAATTATTGTAATTATCTTACAGTTACTGATGTAATCAGAATTTTGTCACTTTAATTATCCATATGTCTCTAAAGCCCTGTTGAAACTGCTAATAGTTATTGAACATTGATGGTGTATCTTTCAAAGTATTTTTATTTGGTAGGTAACTAATCTAAACATATTCTCTTGATAGTAAAAGGTAACTGTATTCTGAATACTACACTCTTAATGATGGTTCTTCAAGGGTTCTTTAGTAACGAATACGGTTCTATATACAACCATGAACACTCAAAGAACCCTTTCTGCGAAAAAAGTGTTCTTTCAGATTGATGGAGAATGTGCTGTAGATGGTTCTACATAGAGCCTTTTTAAAATATAAAAATATATATCACCAAAACGTGTTCTTCAATTGTTATTATGTCAAGCTTGTAACAATAGAAAAACTCTTTTGGGTGCCATATAGAACCATTTTCAAAAAGGTTCTATATGTGTATATGTAGAACCTTCTACAGCACATTCCCCATTAATTATGGAAAGGGTTCTTTGAGTGTTCATGGTTCTATATATAACCATTTTCCTCACTAAAGAAACCTTGAAGCACCATAATTCTAAGTGTGTGACTTTACAAAACGTAGCTTTTGCCTGAATACAGGTACTTCATATCTGTATTAGAATACATATTCACAATACTTGTATAAAGTTACATCCCAACCCTGTACATGATTTCCTACTGTCACACTTAATGAGCTCATTATTTCTTCTAGAGCTGTTATAATCAACCATCTGATTCACCTGTAACTGTATGGTGTCCAGTTCTCTATTTGCCTCTGGATTGTCAGTCTATTGAACTGAACTTAAGCTGGTATAGCATGTTAATTGATAGCCAGTTAGTTCCCCAGGGTGGGTGGTAGGGGGTATCAGCTGCCTCCTGCTGGTCAAGGCTGGTGTAGTAAATGAGAATTTGAGAATTTTTTTGACAGCTGAAATTGTAGTGATGCTTGTTTTTGGTGTGTTATTAAACTTACATCTTACCGTTTAGGGCTTCCCTACCACGCAGAGGTAATAGGTATGAAAAGGTCTTAACAGGTGATTTCACCTGTTCTTTAACGATCAAGCATGTGCTGACGTCAGTTCAGCTCCCAGCTGCTCATACAACAGAATTCATCAGTATATGAGGGCCAGTTTGATCTGCAGTGCTACTCTGAGGCCTTTACCTCTTCATAATCCCAGGCTTATTACATTCTAATGCTCATTATTCAGTAACTAAATGGAAACCAATGCAAACTGACTGAGCTGTTTTTCAGTAATAGGAGTGAGGAATGGAAGCTCAGACCTGCTGGCAGCTCCTGGCCACATGAAGAGTATTGAGGCAGGTGAGGATAGACTTACATGTTCCTCATCACTGGGGCTCTTTTTCGGACCTGCTAGAACTGCAGGACACACAAACACAAACATTTGTATCATACCAACCAAATCACAACTGCATCTGTCCATCCATAATGAACTAATCTCTGGAACAACACCTGGGCATCTCCAGTCAGCCTGAAACTCATGAGCTTCCACTTTCTTTCATTATATAGTTTCAGTCATGTACACCTGACATTCAGACACATCAGCTTCTTTCTTCCCCATCTGCTGTTCTTTGTAAAAGGCCCATATCTTATGACTTCTTTGTATGTGTACAGTAGGAAAAGCTCACTGCGACATGCATGTCAGACTGGAATCATGGTATGAAACAATGTGAAAGAATTTTAATGTGAATGTATTATGCTGTAAAGGAGGATGACAATAAGGTTTTTTACCTCGACCTGAAGTCTTCTTCAGCTGCAGCTCAGTCTCCTCCTGCCTGGGTGCTGAAAAACACCATTAAAACAGCTGTGAGGACAATTCATGTCCACTAGGTGGTGCTAATGTCCATCATTACTGAAGCTCAGGGTCTCACATGCTGATGCTGTGCTGTAGGACAAGATGTCCTTTTACAGAGAATGAATTTGAGTGTTTGACTTTTCAATAATTTCTTAAACAGCATTTGTGCTTTAATAAAATCATTGTTCCTGTTATTAAATACGTTACCTGGATCTTTTCTTCTGCTTCTAAACTTCAGACAGAGAATGACAGAGAGCAGAGTGACCACAACCACGGCCAGCACAGTGAACGCCAGGAAAAGAACCAGCATCGCTGATACATACACACAATAACAACAACAATATAAACACCTGATTACATTTACAAGGAGCAACTACATCATGAATATTTAACAAGGCCAATCTTAAAGGGGAATTCCACCATTTTTCAACATTGGAAAAATGGAAAAGTTTTCTTTAGGGACTGTGAGGGAGCTTTTAGAGGTGGACGTCTGGTTCCTATCACCACCACTGAGAACGATTCTGACTGTGTCAGTTTCTCTAGAACAGAGCGTTTCACACCAAACCACTCTGAACGACTCTGTTTACATCTAATTATGCAGAAATCATCAGTCATCATCAGAGTTCCCCTTTTTATGAGACCTACTGTACCATTTTCAGGCATTTGGGGGACGTTATTTTCTACTTCTGTAGAATCTGGAAGATAAAATAACACTATTCTCAGACAGATTACTAAAAATGATAATTTCTTAATGTGTACATATCTAAAAATAGAACCAGCTTCATTACCTGTTGTAGTGGTCTGGAATGTTTCACTCTCTGTAGATTTGAACAGAGTTAAGAGTTCATATGCACATGCAGAACTGTAATTTTCTATTGTATGCAGTGACCACTAAACAACAGCAGGACATAAAACACCATGGCTATTTTAAATTATATCTTTAAAAGCATATAAAGCTCAAAGGTTTGCAATCAGTGTTTTGATTGGGTGGAAAATAAATATATAAAGCTTATCAAATATGCTAGTTTTGTGCAACTTCACAGGTTTATAAAATTACAAATAATAATAAAAATTACAATAATAAATATGAAACTCTAAAAAAAGAAACGTGAGATAAATGGTACAATGACTGCATGAAGTTATGTGTTCTATTTCAAAAGTGACAATTAAATCTTGAGACAGCTAACTTCCTAAAAAAAAATCTATATTTATTGCAAAAGTTTGAACACCCCAGTCAAATTACAGATTGTGTTGGTTTTCTAAGTTAAAATAAGTAACATGTTGTCTAAAGAGAACACATTTAAATATGGTATTTTCTCAAAATTTTAGTGCATAGTTTCTATTTATTTGCTGAGTTTATATATATCCGTGTGTATACCTGTTTGGATGACCATAACAGAAGCGACCTCGTGGCCGTTGCACAGGTAGATGCCGGAGTCAGACAGCTGCAGGTTGTCGATGTTCAGGTGGTTGTACGTGTGAAAGAACCTGCTGTCTGGATCTTCTCTCTCCTGCTTCACTGTCCCGTTCCTAAACTTGGTGGAGATGTACTCTCGCTTTGAGGCTGCTGTGTGTTTATAGGCCCATCTCTGCTTGGGCTTCCCAGAGAACGAACAAGGCAGGTACAGAGTACTGCCCTCATAAACCACGAAGCTGTCACCTGCAGACGAGAAGAGAGAAAAAGAAAACAGTATACAAATTACAAGAGCGCCCTCTAGTGGAATGTGCATGAAGTGTTAACCATTAAATCAAACAATTTTAACATAACTAACAATATCTGAAAGCTAAGGGCCATGCTAATGGACATATTAGCTTTCAGTCATTGCTTTTCCACATTAACATTGCTCAGCTGAACTGTGTTTCTTAAATCAGTCTGGAATTAAAGAGATCTGGCCGACTGTGTACAAGAAAAATGGTGAAAGTCAAAAGTTCTCAGCCCTGTTGTCTGTCTCACAGAGCAGGATTGCATTTACAGCATTTGGCAGACGCTCTTATCCAGAGTGACTTACAGTTTGATCATTTTACACAGATAGGTAAAGGTAGTGTTAGGAGTCTTGCCCAAGGACTCTTATTGGTGTAGTGTAGGGTGTTTACCCAGGAGGGGAACTGAACGCCAGTCTACAGCATAGAAGGCAGAAGTGTTACCCATTACACTATACCAACCACGGTAGCCAGCTTACTGTAAGCTTAGTTCAGTCCAAACCTGTATTTTAGGGCTACATCACCATGGTAACTTATACTGCAGGGCTAAGGCCTAATTCACACATACTACTGTGTGGCGTGAGCATCGCAGAAAGTCTTGTTTTTCATTTCGGCACCTATGTTAACTGCTCAGTTCTTTCACACAGGCTGTGCGTGCGAAGTGGCAGAGCATCCCAGATGCTGCACTGAAGCGGCTTGGTGTTTTGAGAAAAGACCAGGCGCTGTTTTTTTCCATGCACCACACCTGTCACACAGCAAAATAATGAAAATTAACAGAAAACTGTATGAAAAACTGAAACTATTATATTTAAATACTAGTTAAACATTCTATGCTGCAGACAGATTTTCTGGTTGGTCTACCAGGCCTGAAACTTTTCAGAAGTCAGAATGCTGTCGAGGATAAACTAACATACCATGCACTTTTATAAATGACATTTTTATTGAGCAGAGTGACTAATTTGACTATTCATTAGTCTGGGAAAAGGAATGTCTGTGTAATTTTCTCACTGCTCCACTCCATTCGAGCTGTAGTGCTCAAACATGTTTTAGTCCAGGATTTTGGATCATAAACAGCTCATGAAGCAAGCAAGGTGAGCTCCTGACCAATCAGGGAGTGAAGGAGGTGAACGCCGCTGGTCCTTTTCTTTGCGAAAAATATTGCTTTTTAACGGAAAATACATATCAAGAATGCCAAGAAATTATTATTTAAATAAGCACTAATATGGTGGCAGTGATGACCAACTTACTACAATTGTCAGTGCTTTACGTTCTATATATTTACATAGTCCGATTTTTCCTTCTTTGAAGAATAAGCCACTGGACACCTCCTAACGTTTCGCATGATAGGCTGTTCACCATGATTTAATTTTTTCATCTCCCGTTAAGGCACTTTTTAGAGAAACAAGGTTTCCTTCTGCCAGCGATGGTGTTTTCCCTGCTATAACACAGCCAATCCAAATCAGTCACTTATTAACAAGCTTTTGCTGAGTGGGAAAATGCTAAGACGTTCTGGGCAGGGACTACCAGGACTACCAGGACTACAGTTAGGACCCACTGCACTGAACCATTTTTCTTCTACACAAAGTAAAAAAATGGTCTTGTTTGTATAAATGAATGAAAAGTGATATGTACTTAGTTTGGGCTCTAGTTTTCCATGATCATGAGCTGCATAAGTACTGTTAGGTTAAACCTTCCTCTTCACTGCTGTCTAAACAATGATTCTACTAGAGGGCGCTCTAAACGTCCTCTGTTTTACGTAAATGTCTGATAAAATTATTTTTTAAATGGCATATTGGGTAATCATCATATCCGCTCTCGGGTTGTACAGCTAATTTGATTCTCTAATTCCTACTGATAGTTCTGTACCCGTGAGTATGATGACCTCCGCCACCAGCCGGCCGTTGCAGTAGTACCGTCCACGGTCCGACTTCTCCAGCTGTCTGATGTAGAGCGTTCCGTCTGGGAGGAGCTGGTATTTGGTCCGGTCCAGCGGAGACTCTCTGCTCATGTGTTTAGTGGCATTGATCTTCACGATTTCATGTGTCCACTCCACATCTGAACCACGTCTGCACGCCAGGAACAGGAAGTGCTCCTCAGGCACATAGACTACAGAAGCCCCTAAGAGCAAAAGAATGGAACATACTTCAAAATACAACAGCAAATTTAGAAACATAACAACAAATGCAAAATCATAACAGCAAATCCCAAAACACTGAAGCAGGTCCAAAAACACCACAGCAAATCCTGAAATACTGCAGCAAGTCTAAAAGCGCCACAGCAAATAAAAAAAAACACTGAAGCAATTCCAAAAGAAACAACAAGAAATCCAAAAACATGACGGCAAATCCAAAATCAAAATAGCAAATCCAAAAACCACAGCAGCATGAAGAAGAATCACTGAGAGGAACCAAGACTCAAAACGAGAAACTCCTAAAGAACATGATAAAGAACAATTGAGAGGAACCAAGACACAAAAAGATGAATCTCTCCAAGAGCATGAAGAAGAACCACTGAAAGGAACCAAGACACAAAAAGATGAATCTCTCCAAGAACATGAAGAAGAACCACTGAGTGGAACCAAGACTCAAAAGTGGAGTTAGAGGAATTCTGTGGGCAAGTCCTTCTAAGCCTTAAGAGAAGCCCTAATGATTTTCAGAGACTAAAAAAATTCTCTATAATTTTTTAGTTTTTAATATTTAATATTTAATAGAATCTTCTGGAAGTTCAAGATATGTTACATAAAAGCTCAAATAAATGCTACTGTCTGTTACAAACTTCAGTTAAAACATATACAATGTCTTTTGGAAGGTTTTGGTCTTCATGGGCCAAACTGAAGGCCTCGCTGTGACAGTCCCTGATTTGCCAGCAGGAAGATCACTTGTATTAACCAAATATGCCATTGAGCATGTTTATGAATATGTTTCAAAATCAAAAACATTAATGTAGTGTTGATTGTCATGGCAGCAGGTCATTTAAGAAAAACAGGAAGTGTCATTAGCTCTATAGTTAGATCTTCAGCTCAACATTTCCACTGTAAAGCCACCTTCCATTTTACCCATTCACCTACTCCTCTGGTGCAGCACTTACCACCCAGTTCACAGCTTTGATAAAATCAGTCCTGAAGACTAAAACAAACTCAAACTGTTCAGTTCAGAACAGAAAACCACACTGCAGACTTTCAGTGGAAGGGAAAAGAATAAAAATAGTAAAGAGAAAATCTCACTGCAAACCATAAAGCAACCTACTCTGTCTGACATATTTCTCCCACAGACATAAGTGTACAAACCTCAGTTCCAAAACAGTTGGGACAGCATGTGAAATACAAATAGAAACAGAAGGCAGCAATTTGCAAATCCACTTTAGACATGTATTAATGCAAATAGAGTACAAAAAATAAGATATTTAAGTTTTAATTTATCAATTCATTTTTTTTTTTGTTTTGTTTTGTTTTGTTATACACTCATTCTAAAATGCAAAAGATTCCAAAAAGTTAGGACAGGAGCAGTTTAAGACTATGATATTTTCAGAAAGCATTTTAAACAGGATAGTTGGAGGCTCACCACTTTGCCAAGAAATAGGTCAACAGATGATCCAACAGTTTAAGAACAAATGCAAGTTAAGCACAGTGGAAACCATATATCAACAACATCCAGAAACACTGCTGACTTCTCTGGGCTCAAGCTTCTCTGAAATTGACTGATGCTCAATGGAAATGTGTATTGTGGTCTGAGGAGTCAACTTTTCAGATTGTATATGGAAATGATGGACACTGTGTTCTCTGGACCAAAGAAGGGAAGGATCATCTTGATGGTTACTAGTGTAAAGTTTAAAGCCAGGGCCTGTCATGGTATGGGCTACATGCACATCTGTGAAGGCATCATTAATACTAAAAGCTACATGCACATTTTGGAGCAACATATGTTGCCCTCTGGTTAATGGGCCCAGTTTTTTAATGCCCTCTTAAACTCACCACTCAGTTATTTATCACGCCTAAGTACACAAGTGCCAACTCACGGCACAAGGGGAGGAACGCGCTTGCCATTGGCAAATTAGCCTCAATGTGCTAATCGGCTAGCCATGCAAACTTTGTGATGGAAAAGTTTTCAGTTCAAAAATAACACTGTACTTTGATGGTCCACTGTAGATTCTTTGTACATGCTCAGTCTATTTTTAAGTAACGTTCAACTAAAATTCTATTAAATGCAACTGAACTTCACCAGAGAGATTGCTAATAATTTAAGTATGTGTAGAGCATCTATAGGGAACCATCAAAATAAAGCGGGACCCAAAAAAACTGCTAAAAATAAAATGGTTCATCCAATAAATGTCACTTGAGCAATTAAAGCAATGTAACAGTCCGTAAGATGGTGCTGGGGATTCCCCCAAAGCAAAATGGCAAGGCCAAGTGGATAAAAGGCGGAAATTTAAATTACTGGTACAGCTGCCTATAGATGTTCCACCAGTACCAGTTGACCTACAGATGCAGCAAAACAGAATTTTCTTAAGGAAAACAATGAGTTGACCAGCATTTTTCAGATATAGGATTTGTATTGTTTGGCAAATTCAGTGGAAAACCTCCAGGCTTTCTAAACCTTCAGTGAAGCCCTTATCTAATAAAATTCACCTAAGCCAATGAAGTAATAGAATAGACTTTAAGATGGTATTGCCCAAAAGGGAAATGGTCAGGCCAAGTGGACATGGGCATCTTGAAGCCAGTATTAAAATGAACGGCATGTCTTTTACAGGGACATCTGTAGTTATTTCATGAGGACAGGATCTAAAACTTAAAGATTCCCCCAAAGGCAAATAGCGAGGCCAAGTGGACAAAGTCATGTCAGAACCAGTACTGAAATGGGTAATGCATCTTTTTCAGGGACATCCATCCAAGCCACATTCTAGTTAACTTACATCATCTGCTTTGACTGGTACTTTCTGGCTGGTCACTGAACATTACATTGGCTACAGCTGCTGTGGACTTTCAGGAGAACTTGAACATGAACATAAATAACTGACCTTGTTTTCTAGAACAATTTATTATAAACACCAGCATACCCTTATGAATACATATCCGGCTGCTGTTCAGTAGAACAGTCAGATGTACCGCAAGCTTTCAGTGAAAGAGAAAAGCTCACCACAGACTCTGAACCACAGCCACAGCACAGGAAGCGTGCTGTATTTAGAGAAAAGCGTTCTATCTGGCCTATGTCACTTTCACACACACTGTTATATGCAAACATTTGTGCACCACTGGTGAAATGATTTTGTTAATTGTCTATGTGAAAAAAACTGGCATCCTCTGCATAGACACACTTCTGCACATTTTACTGCACATTCACTGTTTATACACTGAATTAAACATATTGGAAAAAAAAAACATAAAATGTGGCCCGTGCAAAATTAAGCTCAGCAAATAAGTAGAAATTTAAGGGAATACACTTAAAAGCCATGTTTAAGTGTGCTTCCTGTAGAAGGTGTGTTAACGTTGTCATAGAGGTGAGTTTTTATGCTAACATTTTGTCCTAGTTTTGACATTTATGAAGACTTAGCTCTAAGTCATGGTTCTCCACTGCTGTATACTATAATTAGGGTCCTACCAAATTCATCACAGACCATGAAATGAGCCTTTCCCCATTTAATAGACAGATTATCATGAAATGCAGTGAAATTTGAAATTTCAGCGAGTTGTGCCCAAACTGGACTGTGCAGAGTTAAACATCAGTGCTCTTCTCTTGTTTTCTTGAATTCAGATCAGTCATGAGAACATCATACAAACTGGGTAGCAGCCAGATCCCTGAAAGCTGGGTGCGTTTTTGACCCTAAATAAGTTCTAATTTCAGTAGTGGATTTAAATTTATCACTATTCACTGACAAAAACATAAGATTATCTATAAACACATCTCACAAGAGGCAGACACGACATGACCAGTGTTATGTTTTTGAAAGTCATTTGAGTCAAGGCTCCTACATGTAGCTAAACTAGAATGGTGCTGGCCATCAATCCTAATGTGGAGAGAACCATGTCAAAACAAAATTTGAAAATGTGCAAAAATGGAAAAAGCCTGAAATTTAAAAAAAAAAACCCACCCAAATATTGCAAAAAGAGTTTTTACGCTAAGACGCAGCGGAAAAGTTAGAATATTGCTAAAGCCAAAATGCAAAAAGGGTGATGAAAAGGGTCTTTTTGAATAAATGATGATGTATCAGGCCGTAATTAAGAAACGATTCTTTCCTGCTGAAATTTCATAAATGTGTATAACATTTGCAAAATGTTTGAATGCAAACCCAGCTACAGAACATGAAGCCTTGCACCATCGCCAGACATTCAGTGCTCACAATATAACCATTATGGCTGCCTGTTTGCTGTGAATGGTGGGGCTATGAAATGATGTGAACAATAAGTATTATTTAATAAGCGCCATGAAACATAGCATTTCTCTCATAAAATCCATGAAATCTGAGATTTTTGAGTATAACTACAACATTATGAGAGAGAGAGAGAGAGAGAGAGAGACAGAGAGAGAGTAGGATGCATGATGGGCTATGAAATTTATGTAATCACACTATATCAAATAAAAGCAAATCTACTACATGAAAAATCACTTATTAGAGAAACCCAATCCAAACTCAAGGGTCAATGAACTCAGCCCAAAATCTCATTTTTGTTGGGCCCCCTTAAACTCAGAGTATCAGACCTCTAACACAGGCAGACAGATAGACAGACAGACAGACAGACAGACAGACAGACAGACAGACATGTCGTGCTGTGTGAGTTTCCTGTGTGTCTCATGGTTCTCCTTTATCAGGAGGAAGAGGACACACAGAGGCCTAACAATAACGCTCACCACTCACAGTCAGAGTGAGTCAAACCTCCCACCAGCCCACTTTAGCTACTGCTGCTTTTATAACTCTGTTCTCTCACCACTCGGACGCCTGGGTGGGTGGTAGATACAGGGGTCCTTATTTGTTCTAACAAGTGGTTGTACCACCACATTATATATATATATATATATATATATATATATATATATATATATATATATATATATATATATATATATATATGGGAGTCAATATTAAAACACAGTAATAATAAACACACAATAATAGGAATATTGTGCATATCATAGCATAGGGATTTAGTTTTGCCATTTTTCGTTTTTTTCTTTCGATTGTGTCACTAAAAGTCTTATATATTGATATATATGATAAATATGATGGGAATCCAAATCATAATAATTAATGATTAAGAAGAAAAAAGAAAGGACTACAAAAAAACTGTGATGTCATAAATCAACCAACACTCAATGTACAGTGAAGAAGCGTTGAAAATGATCTTAGGAAAGTGTAGCGCTCCTTTCTTTCATCATAATAGACTTTAACTACACAACACAACAATGTAGCTTGGTGTTAAAATGCAATTGACAGCTCTGTAATAATCATTATCTGACAGCACATTTGCAACTGAGCTACATACTTTTTTTGAACCCCCAAATATCTTCTTTAATTTCAAAAATGTAGGGCGATACAGATACTCAAATAATTGTTTTAATAACCCAGTTCCCTTAACAGATTGACCTGACCAAAAAACAGCCCTGAATAAGAGGAAGCTGGTCTAAGACCAGTTCGCTCTTCTCCATAAGAACCTCTTATGTGGCTTCAGAAGGACAAATGCTGATCCTAGATCAGTTTTATCTCTCACGTGCCCAAAACTCTCTAGATGTTGGATCTCAGTAATCACACTGTGCTCTTCCTGTGGATGGTGATAGTAGAAGGTCTCTCAGCTTACCCATGATGGCTTCATTAGTGTGGAGTAAATAGATAAAAACCCATGTCCAGGTCAGCAGGAGGTTTTTCATGGTGGACGTTCATACGACTGACTCCCTTCTTCCCTGTTCTTTCAGAGCTTCCTGCTCAAACCCATCATGTGTCTGTGTATGTGCATAGTATCATACCCGGGACTGTGAGAGCTGCACTTGGCATCAGGAATAAATTATGAGGCTTTACTTCACACAGTTACTAGAAGACCCTCTAGATCTGCTGACACCCTTGAGAAAAATGTTTATTATGGAATAATTGTCCTTTATATAATATTATTTGGCCTCAATTTTTTAATGTCAGATCAAGTGGATCAACACACAGATGTTATTTTTCATAGCATCTTTTGCCAAACACTGAACACTATACTATACTATACTATACTGTATTGAATTAGATTGTACTACAAAAGACCATACTATACTATACCATCTTAGAACATATTAAAAATAGACTATGCCATAGTATACTATACCATACTACAATATACTATACTATACTATATTTTATCATGAGACTATACTACTATAGACTATACTATGCAACCTTATATTAAAATATATATTAAATATATATTAAAATAGACTATGCTATACTATAGTATACTACAATAGAATGTACTTTCTCATTAGACTGCACTACAAGAGACTATACTATATATGATACTACACTGTAATATCTGTAATAGACTGTGCAATAGTATACTAAACCATACTACATTAAACTACACATTAGACTACACTATACCACATTACACTAAACTACAGTAGACTATACTATACCACTTCAGACTGTACAATAGACTATGTTATACATTACTACATTAAACTAAACTACCATATACTACACTATACTATACTATACTACGACATTAGAGTGTGCTGCAATAGACTATACTACACCATAGTGGACTATACTCCATTAGACTATGTTAGAATATACTATGCTATACCACATTAGATTATACTACATTTGCGAAGAGTTTGCAACTCATTTTCAAAATAAAATAGCCTTGATAAAACAGAGCATAGCTCAGCCCGCTGGAGTTCCTATAAGCTTCCTGATAAGCCAGCTACATCAGTAATGCCATCTTTCTCTTTTATCAGTTATCAGGAGTGTACATTTGTTATAAACAAATTAAATTCATCTACATGTGATCTTGACCCTGTTCCTTTTTCTCTCCTAAACATCGTTTTTGACTGTGTTCAAAATTATGTTTTAACTACTGTAAATCACTCTCTGTCAACAGGTGCTTTTACAGATTTATTTATACCTTTCTTACTGTAATATTGCACTTTCAAAAATAACATAAGTTGTTTACATATTTCAGAAGCTATTTGTTAGAAAGGTCACACAGCTAATTATTATGCAAACTTTCATCCACTTTTCCAAAACATTCAAATATTTAATGTGTATGAAATCAATCACGATCAAACATACCACTTTATTTTCTTCATTTCACATTGTGTTCCTGAAAAAAAACATACGCAAAACAATATTTCTGTTTGTTGCAATCATTTTTTGTCTGCTCAGGAGGCTGATGAAAGGAGTTTTTATGACCGAGCAGCTGCACACAAGCCGATCACTATGTGTAGTGGCCAAGTGTCGGCTGGAGGGGTGTAAAGCGCCAGCACTGGACTCTGGATCAGTGGAAACGTGTTCTTTGGAGTAATAAATCAGCTTTGATCATCTGTCAGTCTGATGGACGAAACTGGGTTATAGTGGATACCAGAACATTAACTACCAGAATGCACAGTGCCAGCAGTAGAGTTTGGTGGAGGAGGGATGATGAGCTGGGCCGTTTTTCAGGCCCCTCAGTTCCAGTGAAGGGTGATGTTGATGCTACAGCACAAAGACATTTTACACAGTTACGTTCTTCCAGCTTTGTGTCAGCAGTTTGGGGAAGAGCCTTTCCTGTTCCAGCATGACTGAGACCCTGTGCACAAAGCAGCTCCATAAAGACATGGAGGGACCAGTTTGGTGTGGAGGAGCTCCAGTGGCCCTCACAGAGCCCTGACCTCAACCCCACTGAACGCCTTTGGGATGAACTAGAGCGGAGATTGTGAGACAGGCCCTCTCGTCCAACATCAGTGTCTGACCTCACAAATGCTCTTCTGGATGAATGGACAGAAATTCCCTCAGACTCTCTCCAACATCTTGTAGAAGCTTCCCAGAAGAGTGGAAGCTGTTAGAGCTGCAAAGGGGGACCAACTCCATATTAATGCCTATGGTTTTGAAATGGGATCTCCATGGTCAGTTGTCCACATACTTTTGGCCATATAGTGTATATATTTTTGGGAGTGAGCTTTACACATACAGAAATATTGATTATATATATATATATATTTAATACCACCTTTATTGGAAAAATAGATTTTTTTTTTTCATCATACATCAGCTGTTATTTTTTTTCAAAAACTTGATATATTCAAAGTTGTTGTAAATAGATATACATTTTGGAGTTAATCTCTTCAGATCTCTTCTATATTACTATATATTTTCTGTGTTTTCAATAATAATAATAATAATAATAATAATAATAATAATAATAATATGTATAAATAATAATACTGTACAAATATTACAGCACAGCCAATAATTACTCAAACATTTATTAACATGCAAATAAGTTATCCAGATTATCAAGTCAAGTCTTTACTGTACATGTAATATATACAAAATTCTATGAAAAAATCCAAATATATGTATTTAGATCTAGTTTAAAAATGTAAACATGTAAGCAAATTCAAACAGAAGCAGATGAGGTGCTGTATTATTTTGTACGGATCTGGAAGGCAGTGAGGTCTTCATTTCACACTGCTACGTGTTGAATTCCTGGATGGTGGAATAGAGCGGCTCACTCTGAGGGATGAAAACAAACATCTGTAACACATTACTGTGACATCACTGAAGTTCGGACTGTAAAATGGACTTTAAATACGTGTCCACTGATGTTTCAGAGGTCTGATGACATCATGAAGACAGAAAAGAGAACTGAAACAGCAGAACTCTTTTACACATTCAGAGTTTCATTAGTTTGTTATTTGTAATTAATACAGTAGATAAGAAATGTTGATGTAAGTAAGTGAGACAGGTTATTTACCGGGTTGTTCTCAGTGGACTGAGCTTGTGGTACTAAAGGGGAAGCTGCACTTTGGTTCTTCAAGCCTGAATAACCAGAAAACGATTATGAGATTTATATATATATATATATATATATATATATATATATATGTGTGTGTGTGTGTATATGTACACACACACACACACACACACACACACACACACACACACACACAGACACCGATTTATAATGACCCCCTCCTTGTTTCTACGCTGATTGTCCATTTTATCAGCTTCACTTACTATGTAGGTGCTACAGCCCCTTTTACCCTGTTTTTCAGTGGTCAGGACCCCCATGGACCCTCACAGAACAGGTACTATTTGGGTGGTGGATCATTCTCAGCACTGCAGTAACACTGACGTGGTGGTGGTGTGTTAGTGTGTGTTGCACTGGTACGAGTGGATCAGACACAGCAGTGCTGTGGACTATGACACTAACTCTATAACTCTGTAGTTGATGTGTAACTTACTTTTACTTTTGTTTAGGATAGTTTTGGGTACCGAGGTGGTTGTTGTTTTAATGAAAGTACTCAGATGAAAGACAACAAAACCAAAACGCTCATATTAATGCTGACAAAGTTAAAATAAAACTGCATCCAAAAAAGACAAAGAACTTAATTTGTGCAATTGCTAATGCACAGAGACACTAGAAATAGTCTAACAGAAGTCCCATTAACATTCTCATTGGTTCTGAAGCGTTACTGCAAACATGCAGACATGATGTTAAGACGCAGCCCTGGACAGTGTGGTCAGGAACCAGTCTGAGATGGTACACGCAGTAAAAGGATGTGGTTCCACATGCTGCCTGTGGAGGAAGTCTGTTTAGCTGAGTGCTGCATAATCTAATCTAATTTAATCAGCGCTGTAGTGTCAGATAAACAACAGAAACGTCTGAAGTCTTTACCCAGTTTTATGATGTCTGGATCACCTGCCAGCACGTAAATGGCTTCATATTCCTTTGGAGGAGAAGATGCTGTGAAAGAGACGAGAACTCCAGTTTATAATCAACACCATATCTGTATATAGACTGGCTGTAAAAAGTCTAGGGACACCTTGCTTTCTACTCAGTATTAGTACTCTGGCTTGTTTTGGACTTTATAGTATTGATACTTAAACTTGTCCAGGACATATCTTGGTCTCAGTATTATTTTTACTTTGGTTTGTCTTGGACCCCATTGTATTTGTTCTTGAACTTGTTCTTGAACTTGTCTTGGCCCTAAAGTTCGTTTAAACACCTGACAGGTTGAGTGCTGATGAGTGCTGACATCACAACATGAGAATAAAATGGTTGGCCTTTTCCATTATTCTCAAAGTTGCAATGTCATTAATATTAGCATAAATGTGTTTTCCTTAGTCTTTAATAAGTTATAATAAAGCCTATAATAAAACATGCTCACAGGTCATGTACACCAGCTAAAGTGTGTCACATGAGTCAAACTCTGTTAAGGCTCACCAGGCTGTGTGGTCGGTGCAGAGTCATTTACGATCTCGTAGACATGATCAGTCTTGGTGGCTCTGGCAGCTGAGAACAGTAAGACAGACAGTTCAGTACAGGATGATGCATTGATTCAAATGAAATTTTGAAGATGTTGGAATGCAGCTTGTCATTTTTAAACACCATCTCTCACCTTTCCTTTTGAAATAGCATCTCTGTAGAAACAGAGCCAAAATTACCAGCAGCACCCCGACCAGCACAGCAATAGTGATAATGTAACCTACAGTCAGAAGAGACGTGGTATGAATTTCTTGATCTAGAATTTATGATCTATGAATGAGAGTAGAGGATCTTGTGCTGTGCTAATATGTGCATTTCCCTGCTCTAACTTACCACTCACGGCCTGTTATTTACACTCTTCAAATAAAGGTGCCACAAAGGTTTGAGTGATAGATTTTCATAGATGAAGTGTGTGTTGAGAGTGTGAAGGACCTTAACTGAATGTAAAGGTAAAGGTTCTTCTTGAAAACATTTATGCTACATAAACATTTACATTATGTGACTGTCCTTTAAACTTTCACACATCGCAATCACAAAACTGGTTCTCCAAAAATGTGCATATATGCAAAATATGCCAAAGCACATATTAGAGAGTATATTTAAAAATATCTGGATGTTTCATGTTTAGACACAGGATAGATTCTTCTCTACTCTTGCTGTTTCATGTTCAATAACTGCCTATGAAGAGGAACAGAGAGTAAATTTCAATGCTGCTCATTGTGAAGGTCCTCTTGACGTGAGCAGGAGCTTCACAGTGAACCTAACTGCTAGATTGATGACAACACTGGTGGTGCTGATCTTCCACACTTGCAAAAGAACATTGTATGAATGATTGTTGTGCTTCTTATCCACCCCTAACACAGCCAGGATCTGCCAGCAGGTCTGAACAGTTATTACACATCTAAACACTCAGACCTGCTTCTCTCTTTATGTCAACAGCATACAGGTTAAACAAGAATGGTGAAATATGTTATTCAGTGCTTATGCATGAGTTATGAAGTCCCTATGTAGCCTTCAAATAGTGTCACCACATATCTGACAGCAGCTCCATCAGCTGAATGTTTACTAAAGCACACTGTTCTGTGTGTGATCATCATTCCTGAAGAGACTGTGGCCTTACTTTATTTACTCGTACCTTTTCTGTTGGGGCGTTTATCTCCTCCCTTTCCTGTTGATAAAGAACAGTCAGTCACACAGGTAACGTGATTATCATGTGATCTAAATGGTATGTGTATATAATATAATCAGCTGTATGAAATAATGAAACATTCATCTTTCCCTTTATTCTGTGACGAATCATACTGTACCCAACACGTTCACTGTAGTGTAACTGTGTCTCACCGTTCCTGTTCCCCTTCTTTTCAGTTGTTGTAGATTGTGTTTTCTTCCTTGAAGCTTTTGTAGATGCTGCAAAAGAAAACACGTCAGATCTGAAGATCATCTTTCAGCATCCAGCCTCCTCACCAACATCTGACCAGCGCAGCACAACCATGTTTGTCTTACATGCTTTGTTGTTTGTTGACAGTGCAAATAAATAATAACTTTTAGAAAAAGATGAGTTATTTCTCATCTAGAAAATGTGATTATTTTAATCTAATAACTCTTTTTTGAGAAAATAAGACTTTGTTTTAGCAAAATGGTTCAGAAACACAAGAAAATCCATGTTTCTGTTTTGAAACACGTTCGTTTTCGGCCGGTCTGATGAGTCCAGTTCTGTGCCGAGCCAACGTGGAAACTGTAAAATCTCTGTTTTTCACTGGGAGCAAAAATGTTTTGACACTTTTAAACAACATGGCAACTACAGGTTTATAATGGCCCCTATTCATCACAGTTGGGTTTGGACAAATCTGACCATAAAACAAGTGCATGTACATTCTACCCATAGTTCTATTATTCATCAGTCTCATCCTTACTGTAGGGGATGTCCATAAAGGGGTGTCCTACAAAGAAATGTCCTACAAAGGAATGCCCAACAAATGTCCTACAAAAGGATTTCTAAAAGCTAGAGGTCCTACAAAATGATGTCCTACAAGAGAATGTTGTGTAATGTAATGTCCTACAAAGGGTCGTCCTACAAAGAATGTCCCAAAAAGAGAATAGCCTACAAAAGGATATCCAACAAAGAACAGTCCTACAAAAGAATTTCCTACTTCTAGGAATCATGTCCACCTGTAGAGCAATACAGCAGATCTCATGACCCAAAAACCTGCCACCGTAACTAAACAGGTTTAAACTAAGCCTGCAAGCCTTCTGTAAAATAACACGCTAGACAGTTGGTGTCTTACCATCACTTCCTGAAGAGGACCGAGTTGTGGACATGGTGGTTTTAGACTCTGAGGAAAGTAGAACACAAAGCAGACAAACTCTTGTGTGTTTGCAGTAACAATGTACACTGGTCTTAAGTACTGTTGAACTGAATGAACAAATAAATAAATAAATAAATAAATAAATAAATAAATGTTAAGTAACTGACTCGCTCAGAGCAAAAGTCTAAATATTTTAATTTAATTTGGATAGAAATGTAAATATACTATGAAAAGGTTTCACATTGGTCACCAGTGTTCAGCTGTAAGATGATCATTCCTGTAATGATTGCTGTGGTGCTGTAGTTATAGTGGGACTCTTACCTGAGTTAATCACTGCAGATGCAGGTGTAAGTGTGGTATTTGAGACCGCTGAGGGAGCTGGAACATAAAACACATCGGCTGTTTACTATTGTTAATGTAAACATTTTAACATACAACATAAGAACAATGCCTTTATTTGTAGCATAGTTAAATAAATAATTAGCAAAAAGGCAAGCTTTATATATAAGTAGCACATAATATCCACACATTCAGAACTATTTGACAAAACAAGTTGACAGAAAGAGCTAATTTACATATATCAGTCTTAAAGACGCAGTAGCTGTTTAAGCCTGTTTAATTCTGAGGGATAAAGAGAGAAAATGCTCATGTACAAACTAATGACGGTTTGGGATACATAAAACCACACAAACATCAAACAAGTGGATGTAAGAGGGAGAAATACAATTCAAGAAAAATGTAACAATGCCTTTACTTGACTGCAGTGCAGAGCGTGCAGGCCTGCAGCGTGTGGGTTCAAACACCTGTGCAGCTGCTTTGATTTCAGTTTTAAAGCAGTTCTGACCACTGAAAATAACAGCTCTGAGACTGAAACTATAAATAAAGTGGATTTTGCATGAGAATGCTTGTGTTAGATGCTGTTAACCACTGGTGTAAATTAGCGCAGTGATAGCAACAACATTTTCTATTAAATCATTTTATATCAGGCCTAGTCATTATTTCTTTTTCTCTCGGTTGTTTAATATTTATCCTAGTTTATTTTCCAAAATAAAAGTCTCTGTGCATTTGAAATCTGTTTGAGGAGATTAAAACCAGTTATAGCTTGTATGCAGGACAGTAATGTGGGTGGTCCGAGGCTGGACCAGCAGAGGCAAACAGTCAGCTGGGTGCCGACCTTATCAAGCCAGTGGACTGATATACGCTTGCTGGGCTGTTCCACCTTAAATGGTCACAATTCAAATCAGAAGCTGGCGAAGAAGAAGTTTAAATAGTGTTTATATTAAAGAATGTATTTAAGTATGTTTGGATGTTTGGATGTTTCATGTTTAGACAGAGGACAGATTCTCAGCTATTCTTGCTGTTCCATGTCCAGTTACTGACTGTGAAGAGGGACAGAGAGTAAATTCAGATGCTGCTCATTATGAAGGTCCTTGTGACATGAGCAGGAGGTTCACAGTGATCTTAACTGCTGATCTGATGTCAACACTGGTGGTGCTGATCTTCCACACTTGCAAAAGAACATTGTATGAATGATTGTTGTGCTTCTTATCCACCCCTAACACAGCCAGGATCTGCCAGCAGGTCTAAACACTCAGACCTGCTTCTCTCTTTATGTCAACAGCATACAGGTTAAACAAGAATGGTGAAATATGTTATTCAGTGCTTATGCATGAGTTATGAAGTCCCTATGTAGCCTTCAAATAGTGTCACCACATATCTGACAGCAGCTCCATCAGCTGAATGTTTACTAAAGCGCACTGTTCTGTGTGTGATCGTCATTCCTGAAGAGACTGTGGCCTTACTTTATTTACTCGTACCTTTTTTGTTGCGGTGTCTATTTTCTCCCCTTCCTGTTGATAAAGAACAGTCAGTCACACAGGTAACGTGATTATCATGTGATCTAAATGGTATGTGTATATAATATAATCAGCTGTATGAAATAATGAAACATTCATCTTTCCCTTTATTCTGTGACGAATCATACTGTACCCAACACGTTCACTGTAGTGTAACTGTGTCTCACCGTTCCTGTTCTCCTTCTTTTCAGTTTGTGGTTTCTTCCTTGAAGCTTTTGCAGATGCTGCAAAAGAAAACACACCAAATCTGAACTGGTAAAACTCTGGAGCAGATTTCCTGGCACTTTGTTCTGGTGGGGTCAGTTTAGCAGTTTCTCTACTCAGAACTTCATCAAACTGAAGATCATCTTTCAGCGTCCAGCCTCCTCACCAACATCTGACCAGCACAGCACAACCATGTTTGTCTTACATGCTTTTATACTGAAGCTGTTTCTGCCTGGAAGGAGAAAAGAGACTTTCTGTGGCTGCTTCAGGTTCAAACTGTGACTCATTAGGTCGAAATTAGGACTTGTTGTTTGTTGACAAAGCAAATAAATAATAACTTTTAGAAAAAGATGAGTTATTTCTCATCTAGAAAATACGTGATTATTTTAATCTAATAACTCATTATTTTGAGAAAATAAGACTTTGTTTTGGCAAAATGGTTCAGAAACACAAGAAAATCCATGTTTCCGTTTTGAAACACGTTCGTTTTCGGCCCGTCTGATGAGCTGAGTTCTGTGTCGAGTCCACGTGGAAATCTGTAAAATCTGTGTTTATTTCACTGAGAGCACTCAGGTCGTTTGGAAACTGTATGAATTTGATCCTAACCCCGAACTTACATGCAGCACATCAGAGAAAGTCTTTTTGAGACACACATTGTTGTTGATCTGTCTGTGTCTGTAATTTAATTTGTTTTATTTGTTAGCTTTTATCATGGATCTCCATATTTTAACGCATCATCACTGTCCAAAAGAAGCTTCTCCATTCCTGTTTTCTACGTTCCCTGAACACGGCGACTGTCCTTTACATTGTGTAAACATTTTATGATGATAATCCCTTGGAATAAAATCTAATTACATTAACTTACATCAAAATTAAATCCTAGTTTTATTTTACTAGTTTAGAGATGCATGTTTTTATTTGGACTGTGATGATATCTATCTGATCACTTTTCATTTTCATAGGTTTTCATTATTCGACACGCAACCTGTCTTTGTTATTACTGTACTAACATTACAAACCTGCACAGTGACCATTTACAACATGCTTCTGTGCTCCAGTCACACAGAGTCTAAGGGGCAGCAGGATGTTATGCAGATGGTAATGTGCACTCTTAAAAAAGATGGTTCTTCAAGGGTTCTTTAATAAACAAAATGGCGCTATATAGAATTATGAACATCCAAAGAACCCGTTGCATGATTAAAGGGTTCTTTGCATCGTGAAAGTGTTCTTCAGATTGTAGATTGCAGAGTGCTGTAGATGGTTCTGTTTAGAACCTTTTTGAAAAGGGTTCTGTATAGCAGCAAAAAGGGTTCTGCTATTGTTACAATGTCAAGTTTTGAGCTGTATAGAACCATTTTCAAAAATGTGCTATATAGAACCATATACAACACATTCCCCATCAATCTTAAGACCCATTTCACCATACCAAGAACCATTTAATTATGAAGAGTTCTTTGAGTGTTCAGGGTTCTATGTAGAACTATTTTCTTAACTGAAGAACCTTTGAAGAAGCATCATTTTTAAGGTTATAGTTCCAGTTTTAGCCTAGATGTGTAAATAAGCCCTTCACCAAATTCTTTTTAAACAGGTTTACAGAGCTTATCAACACAATTCAAAGCAAATATCTCACTGTTGTCGGAAGAAAACCTTGTATCTCCATTTTTGTCGTTTTTCAGTTTTTATCATAATTTGAAGATGCCTGTTGGTCTTTACATTGTATGTAAATTTAATGATGAATGGACCAGAAGAAACAGCCCAAAACAACTCGGAAAAAACTCTGGTTCCATTGACTTACATTAACAGTAAAGTAGGTTTTTCCTCCTCCTGTTTCCATTTTAGAGATACAAGGTTTTGTTCCAAAAACAGTGATATGTTGGTTTTGACATATATTTGTGGAAACATATTAGTTTTGGCGACTAATTACCTATAGTGTTTGTTAGCACTGTTAGCCTAGGTACTCCAGTTATAGACTATGGAAGCAAGACTATGTCTCGGCTGACTGACTGCAATTAAGAGAGGTGGATGATCAAAGAAAATCAAATTCATGTGAATCTGGTTGTTCACAGAACTGTTACTTTATTCATCATTATAATCATTAATATTGAGACACTTTGCTGAAATATTTATAGCAACATGTGGATCAGACAAAGAATTTAAATGACACAGTGGTAAAAAGATGCCTTTGTAATAGACAATAAGGCTAACTCTCTATACTGAAGGTGTATGATATTATTTTGTGTTTTAATATTGACGTACAAAGCATGGCATAACAAACTGCAGTCATAGTTTGTTTGAATGATTTTATGCCTGAATTGTATGTTAGCTTTAGCCTCCTGACGTTGGTCCTCACACTTGTCAGACCAAATTTCGACCACAGACGCGCACTTCACGAGACTGATTATAACACTTCTTCCTTCATTTTAAATAGGACACTGAGACTCACTGAGTGGAGCTGCTGGGAGTTCATTCCTTCTGCCTTTTGCTCGGTCAGTTTGGCTGGAGCTCACTGAAGAACAGCAGGTCACATTAGGAGGAGCAGTGGGAGAGCTCTCATCTGTTCAACAAATAAACAGGTAAACAAATAAACAGCTAAACACAAACATTTGAACAGTATTTAACAAATGAGCTTAAAACTCATCCAGCTCCACTCTTAAAAAGAAAAATGCCTCAAGTGGTCCCTTCAAGCACTTTTCAATGTAAGGTTCTGTAAAGAACTAATGTTTTATAATTGTTTTGAAATGTAAAGACTTTGCATAATATTAAGGTTTTAGAACATTAAGGCTTTAAACAACCAGACACACAGAGAATAAAAACATTTTGACACTTTTAAACAACATGGCAACTACAGGTTTATAATGGCCCCTATTCATCACAGTTGGGTTTGGACAAATCTGACCATAAAACAAGCGCATGTACATTTTACCCATAGTTCTATTATTCATCAGTCTCATCCTTACTGTAGGGGATGTCCATAAAGGGGTGTCCTACAAAGAAATGTTCTACAATGGGATGTCCTACAAAGGAATGTTCAGTAATGGGGTGTCCTAAAAAGGCATGTTCTACAATGGGATGTCCAACAAAGGAATGTCCAAGAAAAGGTCCTACAAAATGATCTCCAAAAGCTGAATGTCCTTCAAAAAGAATGTCCTACAAGGGAATGTTGTGTAATGTAATGTCCTACAAAGGGTCGTCCTACAAAGAATGTCCCAAAAAGAGAATAGCCTACAAAAGGATATCCAACAAAGAACAGTCCTACAAAAGAATTTCCTACTTCTAGGAATCATGTCCACCTGTAGAGCAATACAGCAGATCTCATGACCCAAAAACCTGCCACCGTAACTAAACAGGTTTAAACTAAGCCTGCAAGCCTTCTGTAAAATAACACGCTAGACAGTTGGTGTCTTACCATCACTTCCTGAAGAGGACCGAGTTGTGGACATGGTGGTTTTAGACTCTGAGGAAAGTAGAACACAAAGCAGACAAACTCTTGTGTGTTTGCAGTAACAATGTACACTGGTCTTAAGTACTGTTGAACTGAATGAACAAATAAATAAATAAATAAATAAATGTTAAGTAACTGACTCGCTCAGAGCAAAAGTCTAAATATTTTAATTTAATTTGGATAGAAATGTAAATATACTATGAAAAGGTTTCACATTGGTCACCAGTGTTCAGCTGTAAGATGGAGAAATACAATTCAAGAAAAATGTAACAATGCCTTTACTTGACTGCAGTGCAGAGCGTGCAGGCCTGCAGCGTGTGGGTTCAAACACCTGTGCAGCTGCTTTGATTTCAGTTTTAAAGCAGTTCTGACCACTGAAAATAACAGCTCTGAGACTGAAACTATAAATAATGTGGATTTTGCATGAGAATGCTTGTGTTAGATGCTGTTAACCACTGGTGTAAATTAGCGCAGTGATAGCAACAACATTTTCTATTAAATCATTTTATATCAGGCCTAGTCATTATTTCTTTTTCTCTCGGTTGTTTAATATTTATCCTAGTTTATTTTCCAAAATAAAAGTCTCTGTGCATTTGAAATCTGTTTGAGGAGATTAAAACCAGTTATAGCTTGTATGCAGGACAGTAATGTGGGTGGTCCGAGGCTGGACCAGCAGAGGCAAACAGTCAGCTGGGTGCCGACCTTATCAAGCCAGTGGACTGATATACGCTTGCTGGGCTGTTCCACCTTAAATGGTCACAATTCAAATCAGAAGCTGGCGAAGAAGAAGCGACTTCAGCTTCATCTCACTTACTGTAGTAAGAAATAAATTAAAAAAGGAAAAAACAAAATAGCCCTGCTGCTGTGGGTTGTTGGTGTTGTTATGGTTACAATCACTGTGTGGTTTGAATTCCAAACACAGTCCTGATCAAAACAGAGAAGTCAAGGTTTTATAGCTTTGAGCTCCATTTGTGTATTTATTCAAATCTAACTTGGTTAGAGTTTTGATACTGTAGCCACACACTACTGGCTGGCGCTAGCTCCGGGCGTGGCCACACAAGGGCCCATGGTAAGCATGCACCCTTCTGAAAAAGGACTGTTTATGCTGTCGTTGTTAGTTTAGGTTGTGTGTATGTGTTTGTGTTGTGCTGTGTCGGCGATGTTGGGGGTTGGTCACTGTCAGGGTGAAACGTGGCTAATTTTGACCTCCCTCATGGTTTTAGTGTTTCATGCTTTCACTGTTTGTGCCCTTCCTGCCAGTGTGTTCAATAAAGAGCACTTCTTCCAGCAGATCATGGCTACCACTGTGTCTTACTCTCTGCCAAAATCACAATGTGTACCAGACAGAAAACAATGAAGGTAGAATGGACAGATTTTTGTTTCTGGATAATAACAACAATCACACATTTTACTGGTGAGCTCAGTATCATTATATGTTGACTCTGTTTAGTAGTGCATTTATTAGGATCAGGTCTATTCTTTGTTCTTGTACCAAGAAAAATGGACTTTGCATTAAGTTTGTATAGTTAAAATCAGATCTGCATACAGAATATCACAATATTAGAACAACTTTGTCTATAATGGTATTTTTACATGCTGAAAACATTGTGAAATGAACTTTGCCCCCACAAAATGCCCTTTTGAAACAGCTCAGCCTGCCTTGTCTGCGCTCACCACAGTTGTAGGTGTTCTTTGTTTGCACGTTTGAATTTCTGTATGCATGCTTTAGTCTTGAGACGTTGGTCCCCCGACTTGTCAGACCAAATTTACACCTCTGCTGTCAACCACAATCGGAGCTCTCTTCGCAAGACTGTTTATTACACTTTGTTTGACTTTAAAAAGGAAACTAAGACTGACTTTTCAGTTTCAATTACACTCTAAAAACAGATGTGTTAAAAAGCTGCCTCTAACTCAGTGTGGTCAGTTGAAGATACACATTGAGTTACTTTTGACTTTTTTTTTTATTATTATACATTTTTTTTTATATTTCTGTGTCCACTTACAGATTGTGTTACTTTTAACAGAGAATTTGTTAAATCAGAAAACAAAATGACACAAAAAGTGTTAAAATGGGTTACATAATTACGTGTTGTTATTTAACCCTTTCGTTGCCATATGGGGCTAAAGCAAAGCACTAATAGTAGGTTTTACAGTGATCTGGCTGAGTGTTTGTGCTGTATTTCTAGGTTGTGTGATGTTAGCGCTGGTTTCCCTCACTCTGGCTAGTGATGGCAGGTTTCTCTGTGTGTTCTGGTGTGTTTATAATATGAAGACTAAAAGCAGAGATGTAATAGAACAGTAGTGAGTCGGTTGTGGGTGATTTTGGAGCTGATCTCTGGCTGATGGACGGTCACAGGTGGATAAAATCACTCTGGATGGTGAGGCAGAGTCTGATGAGTGATCTGATGTGCAAATCATGTCACTTATGCTGATGTCACAGCTTGATGGCGTCACACTAGCTAGTTGGAGCGGGTCTGCTGAATGGTCTGATGTGTATCATGTCTGTAGCTTAAACCGTTCTGAAGTTATGAAGGCTAGAAGTGACCCACCGCTTTGGGTTCTAAGGGTGAACATATCATTTTTAGAGTGTAGTTGCTAGAACCATGCATGAAACTAAATTGCGCTTAAGCTGCATAACAGAGTATCCTGCAACTCAATTGTCTTCAGTTTGGTCAGTTATCTGAGTCATTAAAGGTTTCATAATAATTAAAGCTTTTCCAAAGAACCGTACTTATAAACCAAGAACCATTTAGTAACTTAACTGTTAAGAGTGTAATGAATGTTGAATGTTCACAGGTTAAATATCTGAACAGCTTCATTTAGATCAGCTTGTTCTGAACTGAACTGTCTGCCATCACAGAATATCGGTTAAATCAGTCTTTATTCAGCTCGGTGATGAGAAACATGTTGCCGTCTGAGAGCAGCAGCAGGACGCTTCAGTTGTGGTTATTCGGTGGGTTAAACTGGGGGGTTTTCACTTTTCCAGTCAGTGGTCCGGAAACTACTGCTGTACGTGAGATCATCAGCAACACCACCAGCTTTTATATATGCAGTTGAGGCCAAATGTTTAGATTCATTTAGGCTAAAGACATTCAAACTTAATTTTTCAAACTCATTTCTTTTGGCAAGTCAGTGAAGGCATCTACTTTCTTCACATCAGAGGTTATTTGAAAAACAATCATTAAAGACAATTTTTTTTAGCTTTAAATTCACTATATCAGATTTCCAGGAAGTCATAAATTTAGCTACACCAAGCTCACTGACCCTTTAAATAGTCTAAAATATTCCAGAAATTGATGTTATATTTTCAGAAGCTCCTGATTGGTCAGTTGTTACAAACAGAGTAAACTGAGATTGCACCTGTATTTTAAGGCTAGTAGAGCTAGTATCTTTTTGCCCTTGATAACATGGAATAATACTCAGCAAAGACCTTAAAAAAGTCCAATTTCCAAAAAACTGAAGGTGCCACATACATCTGTACAACAGCTGTAAGGAAATATAACAATCTTGGGATCACACAGTCACTGCATCATTGAAGAAGGAAGCTCAAATTAACTTTCAGAGCTAAACAAACTTTTGCCCAAAAGATTCAACCGAACCCCAAAACAACAACAACAACAACAACAACAACAACAACAACAACAACAACAACAACAACAACAACAACAACAACAGAACTCTTAGATATTTTTTTGAAATTATAAAGTTTGACTTGTTTGGTGTGAAAATTTAGTTTCTTTAATGGAGAACTGTAACTATGAGGCTAACATTGCTAACAAACATTAGAAGTATCTACAGCCATCATTAAGAGTCTGACATCACCATTGATAGGAAGAAGCAAAACAAAAAATGAAAAATGACAAAAAAACAAACAAAAAAAATGAACAGTTTGGCCATAATAATCAGCACTGTGTATGAGCGAGGCTTTCAGTCCAAAGAGCACCATCCCAGGTGTGAAGCTTGGTGGAGGCAGCTTCATGTTGTGGGGTGATTTGCTTGAAAAAGGACTGGAGCAATTTCCTAAAATAGATGGCATCATGAGGAAGAAGGATTATCTAGAAATACTGAAGCAACATCTCAAAACATCAGCCAGAAAGTCAAAACCTGATAAACAAAAAAGGACAAATGATCCTAAGCAGACAAAATGGCTTAAAGACAACAAAGTGAAAGAACTGGAATGGTCATCACAAAGTCCTGACCTGAAGTCAATAGTGTCAAACCCTTCCTGTAAATATCGGCACAAAACTTCTCTCAACCAGCTCAAACCACATCCAGGTCTTAATTCAGGTCACGCACGTCGATGTGGTTCAGAACAGAATTATGACTCACTCTGAGCTATAAGAACAAACAAAAAAAAGTTGAGCGTCATTCTGTGCTACATGACCAAAAACGGGGCCTCACAACACAGACGCACCTGAAGGTAACGTAGCAGAGAAGCTAAGAGAGTCCTGAGAAAATAAGACAACTTTTTTGTGCAAATGAGCCTCAAACGTGTATGTTTACACCTGAATGTACACATGGAGGAAAACGACAGTTGAATGCTGGACCCACTAGTGACCTCAGGGATCACCTCTTAGCATGAAGCTGAAGTTAGCTACTTATTTGAATTTTCTGTTCTGTTAAAAGGTACAGCAGTCACACTGTGGCACCTCAGGTGTGAGAATGTCATTGATGCACCATTTTAGGTTTGTTTTTTCTGTTTTCGCAAAAATGGAACACGACTCCTCATTCGCATATGTTTATTGTTATTCTATATGCAACTTCTAACTCTCTTACAGTTAGCAAGCCTTAGTTATTACTGTGGTACTGCCAGAGTCAATAAGGTCTTCCCATGCTTTTTTACTAAATTCTATTTGTCTAAGCAAGTTTATTCAGCGCACTGGTGTAATTTGGTGAGCACGTATGGATAAACAGTTTTGGTGACGGTTTAGTTTCAGTGTTTGCTAGCACCGCTATCTTGGCAGCTCCATTTCAAAACTAAAGAAACACAATTTGGACACTAAACATGTTTCAATTCTATTTGTTACCAAGTGCAGGAAATGGATGGTAACATGAAACGTGTGGAGTTGTGAAAAACTGAGTTTGATTTCATTTAAAATTTCATGATGAACCAACAGACTTAGAATAAAATCTTGTTACATTAACTTACATGGAAAGTTAAGAACAGTTTCTGCCTCAAAAGTTATTTTTTGGAGACACAAGGTTATTAAATATATCTTGCGTTGGCCTTACAGCATTGTGGCAGCTGCCATTTGCTCTGGTCAGAGAGAGGAACCTTTGGGCCTTTTTTAATGCATAGTCTGCACCGCAGCCCCTCCTGCCCTGTAAAACTATTTTCGTTGGCGTTATTACCGTTATACTGTTTAGTTTAGTGTGTTACTGAGTTTGGGTGGGTTAACGCGTCTACAGTGGAGTGAAAGTACATGGCTAGCAGTGACCTTCTTGATATTCTGGCTGTAATTTAGTGGCGTTTCTGCATGATCTAATAAAGGAGCATTTTCTGAGCAGAAAATACACCTTCCTATGGCTCTTCTTCACCAAGACGCTACTGTATGCTATGCTACAAACACATATCCCACATGGGTTTCCACTCACTTTCTTTAGACTCATTTTCTTTCATTACACTACAGGATTGTTGATAAACTGGTCTATATATTATTATACTGCAACTATTCTATGTGCTGTGTATCAGTCTGTGTGTTAATGTTTCTTAGTGAGGGTCTTTATATACATTTTCACTGTGTTTCCACTTCACCATGACTGGTCTTTTATAGTCTTGTTGTTCATATCGGTTCATTCAGATGCCCAAATGAAATGAACAGTAAAAGGCTCTTATAGTAACACACTGCTAGTGTTTAACCTTTTATGTTCCTGTACTTGTCTAAATCATTCAGTAACTACATGGAAACTTACAGGAGTTATTATTAGATTATTAGAGTGAGTAATGGACAAACGAAACCACCCACACTTCTAGACTTAATGAGGTCAAACAGACTCACTAATATTAGTGTTTAGAGTCTCTGATATGTCCACTGCTTCTGTGTTTAGCTTTACAGAATAAATGTTTCCTTTTATAAAAGACAGAAATAAAGCAGATCAACATAAACAATCATAGCATATCATCATATACCACTTACAAATCTGACTGAATTCAGTGAACAAGACAAAAATCATATTTGTATTGTTGCTGTTTTTATTCATGTTTAAAACAAACAACGAATTAAACCTGTATGAAAATAATAATAGCTATAAGGAACAAGAAAAGGAAGAAATTTCTCATACTCAAGATCACTTTAACAGAAACAATGTGCAGAAATGAAAGAGCAAAAAATAGAAATATGTTTTGGGTTAAGCAAAGTATCTCTTTTTTAAGGGGAATTTCACTGACTTTCAAAATTTCATTATAATTAAATGGTTAAAATGTGAACTGTGTCATTCAGAGTGGTTTGGTGTGAAATGCTCCTTTCTACAGAATTGGGATAGGAACCAGACGTCCACCTCTAAAAGCTCCCCACAGAAAGTTACTACATGAAATGGTTATGAATTCACTGCCTGATGACTGAGACACTGTTTTATGATAGTTTTGTGTTTGTCTAAAATGTATTTTTTACATGCATAAACACTAAATACAGGGGTGAAAACTAAATGAAAACTGCCAAAAGCCTTTATCTTCAATATGATGTAATCTTGATAGTAACTATACTATAAACAAATTTAAGGTCAGTTCTCCCTGCCCACCTGCTCAGATATGTCCTCGTCCTCTTTAAGTAGCTTTCTCATTCTTGTTTTCAAGTGCTCACTTGTGCTCACTTCAGGTTCATCTAATCTCTGTACACTGTACGAGACTCAGTAAACAGTCTGTAAACTGGGGCTGTACAACTTAAGATGGAGGCTGCTGGTTTAACCCCTAAATTACAACATACACACTTGGATATAACATTTACAGCTTTTCTGAGCATTCTTTTGCTTATGAGTTTATACGTTAGCTCACAGTAAGCAGCCCAAAATGCTACTGGCCCTACTGAGATTCTTTTGCCTCTCCTGATCAAACACTCCACCATTGATTCACAGTGTAATAAAGCAAAATAAAAAACTTATTATTTCAGATTTTCCACTATTTTCCATCATCAACATTCCATATAAACTCAGAAGACTTGTGTAGGTTCACTGGTGGTTCTGGATAGTAAATAAAATGTCTATATTTGTGTTGTAGTCATGGCGACCCCTGGTTCCTATCACCACCACTGTAAAGATATCTGAACCATTTCACACCAAACCACTCTGAATGACTCTCAGTGTATCACTCTGAGTGTTTACATCTCAACCATTAATTAATTTTGAAACTTTTAAAAAACAGTGCCGTTCCCCTTGAACTTTAAAGTGAAGTTGGCTTGATGCTAAATGTTCTGTCAATGTGGGGTGAATAAAGCCTCTCACTCTCAACTGTCACTTTGCTGTTTTCTTCAGGGACTGCAGCAGAAGTCATGTAAGTATAGGCGGTACTGATACAGGTGGTTTTGGAGGGAATGGATAGTTCAGTAAACGGTTAATGTTAGCTGGATAAATAGTTTGATTTTTGCTACTGTAAGTGACAAGCAACACTATGCTGACTGAGGGACAGTTTCTCCATTTAGACCCCCCAGCTCACCCTCTTGTTTTCTGTTGGCTGAGGCCTGTGAGGTTAGCAAATTCATAGGGTTAAAGGTCACCTAGATGAACTTGGCACAAAGCGAAATGTAACACTACCAGAAGTAAGCCACTTTTGTGTCTTCATGTCTTTTTCCATTCAAGTAAGTTGGCTATTTCACCAGACTGACTTCATTCACATTCAGCGTGACTGCAGTTTAACACAGTTATAAATGTGACTCACCTGCTGGAGGTGCAGGATTCACAGTCAGATTCACTACAGGAGCAGAGTTACAGTAGTAAATCCCAGAGTCAGAGAGAGAAACGCTCTTTATCACCAGTGATGAATCACTGTTTAATACACTGTATCTGTTTTCTGGATCAGGTCTGTGTTTCTGGGTGATTTCTCCATCTTCAGCACTGAGGATGGCTGATCTTCCTCCATCAGTGCCTTTACTCCAGATCACTTTACTCACATTTACACAGACCAGGCTGACGTCTCTCCCCTCTGTTCCATTCTGGCTGAATATTACTGTCAAAACAAACATGAGAAGAATTAAAAGATGATATCTTAGACAGTCCAATAACTTTTGTTAAACACTTTATTTATAATCATCTGCATCTTCTACACTTGAAAGCAGGAATTTGGGAATATTATAAGCCTTTATTGATACACCAGAAACATTAGTCTCATTAGTTGAATTCATTAAATAATTAACAGAATTTCCCACATACAGGTTATACTTTGATGGCACATACAGTCGTATGCAAACGTCCCAGTCAGATTCCAAGTATTTGTTGATTTTCTAAGTGAAATTAAGTTTAAGTTAACCTATCTTCTACAGAGAACACACTTCTACTATTTTATGGAAGAGAGATATGGTACATAGCTTTTAGGGTGAGAGGGAGTGAGAGAGTGAGCAGCAACAGTCAGTACAGCACTAGAGTAAAGTTAGCTAGCTGCTACACTTAACTTTCAAAACTATGCTGTCTAGAATTGACTTTTCTTTGGTTTTGAAGGAATGTTTATTTGCATTTACACTAGATATTCATCTAATATTTACTTAACAGATGAGCACTGAGAGATAGTTTAACAAGCAGCTGTGTGCTGAGGGAAGGAGAGATGTGAGGCTCAGGTACCAGATGTGCTTTGGGGTCATTAGCTAGTTTAAACCTCACTGAAATGCATAGAGAAGAAATGGCTGTGTCTTAGAGAAGTGGACTTTGGTCATTTTTGTGGTTGATATTCGAGTAAGACATTATTTGAGTTCAACTCACATCTAAATCCCTCTGATTGGCTCTGAAACACTCAGAAATTGATCCAAATCTTCATCTTTTTACAGTACTGATAAAGATGAGATTTTTTCCCTCAAATAAACATACATATAATAAAATGTATTTCTTATTTAAAAAAAAAAAAGCAGTTGTGATCTTGTCAACTATTTTCAAGAACAAATGTTGGTTCTAGGTTTCTCCTTGACACCTCCAGCCATCACATAGATTTACTAAACTCCATCAGCAGAACCTAATTTAACATAAAGTACTGAGTAGATAAATCAGGTGTTGGATGATGACTACAGTTAATACTGGTCTTCCTCGAGGAGAGGGCAGGAAATAATCAACCACATTCACATACATACAATCACTACATACTGCATTGTTATTTGTATTTACTCTAATATTTGTGCTTTTCTGAGCAGATAAACTCTCTCAGGTACCTAAACCTTGTGCACAGTACTGTATGTATATATGCAGCAGTTTGTTGATCGAGGAAAACGACCAACATGAACAAACTGACTTTTGCTTGTTCTCCCAGTATATTTCAACAGGAGGAAAAAAACACATCACTCATGCTTAAAGAACAGCACAGCAGTGATGCTCTACACACAAAAACAAAATATGTATACAAAAAATGTCACTTTTATTAATGTTTGTATGTAACTGATATTCCTACACAGTCTCGCAAATGTAAGCTGTACATTTGTAATAGCTGAAAAACTGATCAGTCACTGTAAAATAAATTATTTATATAAATAGAGTTATGTAGTATGAGTATGTATTTTTGTTTTATAGACGGTGTCTAACAGCCATATATCCACCCATCAGACCCCGACTCAACACCACACTTTTTCAAATCTGTGGTAAAAATTCATTAATAATTTATAAATAATTATTTAATTGATTTTCAATATGACTTACATTGTAATTTTTTTAGTCAACTGTTTTGTTCCTTTTTGAATTACAGGGAAGTGATTCATACTGTCTGTCTGTGGTAACAGATAGAACAATACAGATGCAGCCAGTAGAGATTAGATTTAATATGCTGAGCTATTTATAACTTCAATATTGTTCACAATGTTTTAGCACTATTTGATATTTCTGAGGTCTTTAATTATGTATGGATTTATATGGTTTTGCTCATCTTTGTTTAAAGCATCAAGTAAAAGCATTACTGTTTTAAAAAAAAGATAAACACAGAGGCCGACCTAATTAAAAAAAAGAAAAGAAAGTGTGCGCAGTGTAAGGTGGTCTACTCACCGGTCTGAGCTGTATGTATGGAGCTGTAGATCAGGAGACACATTAATAGGAGAAGCTTCATGGTCTGCTGTCTGTGCAGTGAGTGCAATCTGTCTGGCTTTGGTTTTGATGTACAAATGGAGCCACCTCTGCTCACTGTCACAATTTCACAGGAGTATAAATGCCTTTCTTCCGCCTCTAACAGTTTCCTCTTTTCACAGTTCACACGCATGTCAACACAGAAGTGTGATGTTTCAAATCAGCTGAAGGTCCACTATTGACGTTTTCAGTGGTTTAATATACTGAAAACATCAGTCATGACCATTTTACAGCCTCACTTTATTCCTTAGAATTAAACAGGCTGCTTTTACTGTACCTTTAGGTATATGCAAATGAGCTCTGTTCTGATTGGCTGTGCCTCATTCTAAAAGCAGTCCCAACTGAAATAATCCTTATAATTTCAGTGTGACAGAATCAGACACAGCAGTGCTGCTGGAGTTGTTAAACACCTCAGTGTCGCTGCTGGACTGAGAAACAAAAATATCCAGCCAACAGTGCCCTGTGGGCAGCGTCCTGTGACCACTGATGAAGGACTAGAGGATGACCAACACAAACTGTGCAGCAGCAGATGAGCTATCGTCTCTGACTTTACATCTACAAGGTGGACTGACAAGGTAGGAGGGTCTAAAGGAGTGGACAGTGAGATGGAAAAGTGGGACTGCAGCTTTAAAAGCAGGGTAATTGATCATTTTGTCCTCCTTTTATCTCCTTCAAATCAAACCCTGTGTGTTGCTCTTTCCTAAACATGAAAAAACTGATCTGCTGAGGAAGGAAGCTGGTGTTTTTCAGACGCTACTGAGCACCAAGTCAGAGATAATGGAGCAGATAGTGAAGAGGTAGTGAAAAAAGTGAGGTGTATCTTCACACTAGTCTGTGGGAGTGTGTATGTATCAGTGGTCTTGTGTAGGAGGGGGGCGGCAGCTCCACCTCTTCCCCACCACATCCTATGTGTCTTTTTTGCTTTGCAGTGTTTAGGTCTAGAGTTTCGAAGCTTTCAGAAACTGGTTTTGAATATGATGGTCATATTCTGGGAGACCTCATGCTCTAACATGCACAGTTCAACAACTTACTAAATCCTGTTAACTCTTCTTCATTGAGCTGGAACAGTTTTACACACTGTGCACAAGCCCTGGCCACTTTTTAGAAACCTCTCACTCATAGCTCCATCTTGTTGGTGTTCAGTTTTATAACTGTAGCTCATCTGTTGTGTCAGCCATCCTCTAGTCCAGGGATTCTCTGTCTTTTCAACTTAATGGCCCACCAATCTATCACTAGAAAGCATGAAGGCCCACAAAACAACTATTTTTCTTAAAAATATTAATTTGGGGCAATTCAACACCTACCCCCACAATAGTGTAGTGTCCCATCACTGGATCACGTAGCTGTGGGTGTGCGGGAGGTGTGGGCATTGCAGAGTGGCCATGCAAGGAGGCTTTGGCAGGGAGAGACTTAAATGTAAATTTATTGTTGCTCCAGTAAGAGGTGTACAAGTGTTGCATGTGCTATTCTATGTTGGGCTGTGGGGTAGTTGGTGTGGGTTTACTGTTTATCACAAAGGGGAGTTGTATGGCTAGATGTGACCTGCCTACTATCTCAGCCGATTCAGCAGTGCTTTGACCTGTATTTGATCAAAAACAGTACAAAGACAAGATATTTAATGTTTTGTCTTATCAACTCTATTCTGTCTTGTAAAAGTACAAGCATTCTGAAATTGATGTCTGCAGCACGTTCCAAAAAAGTTGGGACAGAAGGAAAAGACTAGGAATGTTGTTAAATGTTAATAAGACATTTTAAAAGAGGTGATGTAATCACGCTTGGGTATAAAAGGAGCATCCAATAAAGGCCTAGACCTTTAGCATCAGCACATAGTCCAACTGTTTAAAAATGTTTCTAAATGAGTGTTTGAAAATATTTTAGCTATTTTACTCTCTACAGTGCATAATATCATCAAAAGATTCAGAGAATCTGGAGAAATCCCTGTGCATCAAAAGCAAGACCAAGAACCACAACTGAATACCTGTGACCTTTGACCCCTCAGGCGGCACTGCATTAAATCCTGGCAACCTGGTTTCTGTGATGGATATTACCACATGGAGTACTTTGACAAACTGTTGTCAATAAACACTGTTATTGCTGCATTCAAAAATGCAGGACTGAACTATGCACAGTGGAAGCCATATAACAACGCCGCCGACTTCTCTGGGCTCGAGCTCTGAAATGGACTGGTGCACAGTGCAAGCATGTGCTGTGGTCTGATGAGTCAACCTTTCAGGTTGTTTATGGAAATAATAGATGTTGTGTTCTCCGGGCCAAAGTACAGGGTGATCCAGATTGTTACCAGCATACTTCAAAAGTTCAAAAGCCAGCATCTGTCATGAGGGGTATTAGTGGGTAATCTGCACATCTGTGAAAGCAGCATTAACACTGAACACGTTTTGGAGCTACATGTGCTGCCTGTGAGACGCTGTTCTTTCTGTGTTTAAGCTATATCTGGCATCAAATGTTGTACAATAATGCTAGCTTGGTGCTATTAACACTGCGAATTCACATATAGGTGCTAATGGCTGATTTTAAAAGCAAGTTTGTCAAAAGGCTACTTTTAATAGCATCTTCTGTATTAAATCTTTATTAAATCTTTCTGTATTAAATACTCTCATGTAAGATCTTTATGATCTTTATGATTTTATGATTTTTGGTTGACAGCATAAACAAAACCAGCTCATCAGGAGTTCATGAAATGACTGAATGCCATGCCTTTATTCAAGTATTTCTATTGGAGGGAGTTTTGGAGTGCCTCTTTAAAGATACACTATGTAAGATTTGGGGATTTAGAGACCTCTGGTGGAAATGTGTAACTGCACTCAATGTGCGTAAGAACATTTTCTAACGTGGGTGGTGTTTTAATCCTCTTTCCTGAGAGGATAAATCTGATAATTGAAAGAATTCAAGGAGAACTCCATCAAATCTTGGTGAGGGACATATCTTTTGAGGATGTGAGTGAATTATTTACTATTGTCATCACATCATCAGTATTATGTTGACTTTGACATCATGAGATTAAACATCAAGCTGGATCCTTTTTTTGTTGTTTTTATGTGCATGTGACATTAATACATAAAAATATATGACGTGGTGTGAAAAACTCCCAACCTGATGCCTCTGACTTTTAAATGATTATTTCAGGCTTTACAGAGCAACTCACAGCTGTTACGGGACGGCAGGGAGGTGGACCCAAGTGCAGAGAGGAAAACCTGTGACAAAGGGTCTTAAATTAATTTACTGAGGTGATGGAGTGTGAATTGGGTGATTGTGCACGTTGGAGATGAGGTGGCTCGAGCCACCGATGTACTGATTGGCGGTTCGAGGAGTTACTCCTGCACCGCCGTGAAGCACAGGCGAAAACGGGAAAAACACCTCAACAAATGGGAAGTAAAAAATGGCAGAAAAGGGCAAACAAAGGGGTGCTGAAAGCAGTTCAAACAAAGTCTGGGATAGAAAAGTAAAAAAGATAATCAGAAAACAAAAAACACTTCCTCTGTGATCAGAGGAAGGTCAGCTTTATGTTTCACCCGTTCGCTTTTTGTGGAGTGAACACTTTTGTATGGCTTGGAGTCGTTTCTCGTTTCCTTCCCTTTTTTTTCTTTTCATTTAAATACCCCCCTGGGCTGCATAGCGTACCAGTCACTCCTCTACAAAGGTGTGACAAAGAGCTGCCGTTTGCCACAGCTTTAAGTAGAGGAGTCCACAGGTGTGCCAGGTTGGGCCTAATCAGCCCGAGGGCTTCTGGGAATTGGAGTTCCCTGAACTTGTGGCGCCTGACCGCCATCGTCCTCTGCTGGACTGGGCCCTTACAACAGCAGTGCACACACCATATTTCAGCCTGTTTTTATTCTCCTCACTCAGTAATGATAAAAAATCTTACACAGTTTCACATAGTGCTGCTTTAAGGTGCCACTGGAAGCGCAGTAATAGTGCTGTATGGGTTTGCTGTTGTCTTTTAGTTTTTACTTTTCTGCTGAAGACTTCAAAAAGATTTTTTGTGGGATTATGACGTGTTATGAATGTCATGTAAATGAGATAAAAGGGCGGTCATGCCTCACATCATGCAAACGGCAAAACTCATTGGTAATCAACCAGATGTGTCGCTGCCACACTGTTGGGTCCCAATGTTTACAAATATGGCTCATTGTGTTAGTTAAATGATAATCCAGAGATGCTGCAATATTGTCTATATCTTTAAACATATTTCTTAAACACTTGTTAAGCTGCTCTCCTGAGTGCTGCCCCAAGGCCCTGGGCAAACATGGCTTTGTTAAGCTGTGTTCTTGTGCATGGATATTTTTTCTTGACCTTTTGACTTTATGAGCTGACTCTGGTGTGTTAGAGCTGAGAAAGGACGAATACGTGCAGATGTGAAAGTGTGAAAGACTGAAAGTGTTAACCACAGGGGTTGATCTCAGGTTAGCTCTTTCATTTTAAACTGAAACAGCGAAGATTTGACCCACTTTTGCTTGGTCAATATCACTACAGCTCCCTGGAGAACAGAGGAACACAAATACCAGCATGAACTCTGTAATCTGCTAAATGAATGAACAGATTACCAAAACCTAATCTAGGGCCCGTTTCAGTCATTTTTAAACATGGCCTCGCACACTTTGACTCACTGCTCAGATGTGCGTCACACCTGTGTTACACAAACAGCTTCTCGCGGCAGAAAGGGAGGGGGAGGCAGTGGGGAGCGCATTATTCAAACAGAACGCACTTAGCGGGTTAGCCTCAGTGAGCTAATTGGCTAGCCATGCAAACTTTGCAATACAAAAGTTTTTAAAGAAGTTTGAAAATAACATACATGTGAATAACTGCATTGTCTGGCTATAAACTTGATGTGCTGTGGTGCCTTTATTCTTGTTGTTGTTAGCTGTGTAGCCTTTAGCATGCTAGCAAAGGAAAGTGAGGAAAGTCATGTGTAATAGATGGAGTAGTTTACAGATGGAGTAGTAGCTAAAGCCTAGCAAATCGAATGTTATGGCTTTGTAATGTTAAGCATTATTAAGAAAGTAGATT